ATTAACTTAAATTAATAATTCACAATAATTCCTTTTTGTATAAGTGTGATTTTAAAATTGAAAATACTTCTTCTCTAAAAAAGATTCAAGGGGTTCTTGCTCTTTATAAATACGCAAACCATAGCATAATAGTATCAAGCTCCTCCGGCACCATAAGCATAATACTCGCACACATGTCGCAACCACATTGCTCCATCATTTAATTATGTAAAATTTATAATAACTAATTTTACCCGATTTAAAATCTGTAAATAACCTATTGCACCACTTGATCGTCAACAAATTGATCGTAGAACGAAACAGATATGCATCAAATGCGCCAGCCCAACTACTCCCTATTTGATCCATATTTGATCGTGCTTTCTATTAGTTTTAAACGTTTATTGGCAATGTTCATGAAAATTCGTCGGATGCTTTTTTGGAGGTTTTTTTTGTTTTTACATATTTATCGTCGAGATCGTTCTTTCAACGTGTTATTAATTTGGTTGTGGGATATTAATTTATGTGGTCGTAAAAGATGTCTTGGGATGAGTTATTAGTTTTGTATTAATTTATGTGTTATTAGTTTTGTATTAAAGAAACAATACAAAAAAATAAAATAAAATTACGGTAAGTATTTCTTCATGAACCGATCTATAAACAACATCACAAAGAAATTTGTCCGTAAGGAAATTAGTTTAGCAGAAAATCATCATCACCATAAGTAAGACATATAATAATCATCAATATATAATTCCAACCAAAAATTCAACAAAGTTGAAAACTGTTTTAACGTTTGTTTTTTTTTTTTGGGGGGAAATTAATCCACATGAAAGTGGACAACGAAACTGGAATAAAAAAAAATTCAAACTTTTTGTTTTTTCCTTTGGAAGCAAAAAGCTCCGAGACAAAATCCAAATTAATTTGAAAATTTCAATATATTCAACGACTTGTGGACAAATTTCTTTCACTCCAATCAAAAGTAGTACAGAATGAAAATGGAGTTTAGTTTCCAAGTTTTTTTTTTTTTAATTACTGTGAGTAATAACACTTTTTCGATTAATTTCTTTCCTTTTTTTTTTTCAAAATTTATCTAATGCAAACTATTAAAGACAAGTTCTACTTAAAAAAGAATATAGCTAGACATGTATATCTTATCAATAAATTATAAATAAAATGCATTTCATGGTTTTGGTTTTTGTTACTTGGTTTTGTTAAGAATAAGTATTAAATTCAATTCCGTTCAGGGAAATAAGTATTAAATTAAACATAATTAAATATCAACATCAAATAAAATAAGTTTTAAGAAAATGAAATTATAAGAAACAAGTCTTTAAATCAATTTATCCTTTATAGTATTAACACGTCCAGATTAAAAAATAAAATAATATGATGCAATTTTTTGGCTGTCCAGAATCAAATTTGATTCATCGCAGTTAATAGAATTAAATCTCTATATCCATGCTATATAATTTTTTTGGCCTTTTTCTTTGCATATCAATCTTAGAATTCAAGTGTGGCATTGAATTTCATCGATGAAGATTCATAATCTGCACCAAAAAAAAAATTTATTTAGATGATTCATTATATTTTTTCATATGATATAATAGTAGAAAAAGTTAACATTACGATGATAAAAATAAAAAAGTAGGGATCAAGAAGAAGAAAAGTTTTCAAATTGAGAAAAAGAATAAAGAATTGTGTGAAAGACAAACAATACAATAAAAGTATGGTGAGAAATTAAAAATAATTATATGAGGAGAAGAGAATAAAAAGAATATGAAAAAACAAACTGAGATAATAGTGAAAATATGAAGTAACACTATATTATAGGAAAAATATATCAAAAAACCTTTAAAGAAAAGTTGTAAAAGATATATAGAGAGATGGAAAATAAAGATAATTTTATTGAAAAAAAATAATGAGAAATGTTAGAGGGAGAGTTTAAAAGATATTACATTTAAAACATTATATATTTAGAAAGATCATTATGAAAAATTAAGAAAATACTTTTAAAAGATATAAAACCATGAATTAACAAAACAAAAAAGATGGACAACAACTTACAAAAGATTATTTCAAATATTGAAAATTATTCCAAATGTACACGTAAGATAACAAAACACGTTGATATTAAAAATAATACAATTGTAATTTATATCATTAGTATTATACATCACTCCGCCAGAAAGGTTATATAATTATTAAATCATTAAATTCATATATATCTTGAACAACCCGCACAACGTGCGTGATAAACACTATCATATATTAAAGCAGAGTTTTTAATCGACACGTGTCGCACAGGGAGCAAGTTTAGCCAATTGTACCACATGTCTTCACCAAAATTCTCTTTTATTAAACATTTAAAAGTTTATTACTAATACGTAAAATTGTTAAATTGAATTAGTAATTAACCAAAAGTTTATTTCTGAAAAGTAAATATCATGTGTTTGGTAATTATTGACAAATATATGGCATAATGAAACATTAATTATCAAATTAATAATTTTATTAAGAATATAAAACTAAGTCTGAATACATTAAACGTAAGTTAATATAATGTTTCACATGATTTTGTTGATAAATTTTCCAAAAATTAAAAGATATTAGTTACCAAAAAAAAAAAAAAATTGTTACCAATAACTATATTATGAATACAATTCGAAACCAAGTCATCTGATATATTTTCTTTTTAAAAAAAAGAAGATTAGTTATCAAAAATAGAAGAGATTTAGTTATCAAATTATTATGTTATGAATATAATTTGAAACTAAGTCTGAACACATTAAATGTAGGTTATTATTAATTTTTGTAGATGATTCCATTTGATGTATTTTTCAAAAACAAAAAGATTTGGATTATCAAAAATAAAAAGAGATAAGAACCAAATGATTTTGCTTAGAATACAATTTAAAATCAGATATGATACGTTAAACGTAAGTTAATATTATTTTTCACATAATTTCATATGATATATTTTTCAAAAATAAAAAAATATTAAACACTAAAAAAATAATAAAAAAGTTACGTTTTAATTCTCTCCTCTCCTTTCCTTCCCCTCCGTCCTCTATCTCTTCCCCTTCCCTCCTCCCCTTCCACCTGAATTTCTTTTTTTGTCTGAAAGGTATACACTGACCTCTCTCTCTGTTGGGTTGTAATTATAGATGGATGTTTTTATTGGTCAGAAAGGGAGTGTGATGGATTTTGATTGACATGGTAAGTTATACTTTTAATATTATTAACTCAATGTTTAGAGTGATTATTTGAATTTCGCTTGATTTCTTAACTTTGCCTGTGTTGACTGAAGGTCTGTTAACTTATTTCAGTGTGAATGCTTGTGGACGACCTTCCATTGATTTTTGATTAACAATGAGAAGTGTGGTCCTTAATTATAAAAAGGTTCATCGATGAAAAAAGAAGAACTACATGATCTTTTCCCTTTGTTTTGAACTGTTAACTCATCATTTTTTTCTTGCATTTTTAGCTTCGAAAATTATAAGGAAAAAATTTGGTACTACTGACATACCTTTTCTTTTCTATAGGGGAGGCATTATTTTTTAAACATGCATTATATTTATCATGTTAATGATTATTTCTATTGTATGTCATTGGTAAATATTTATAAGTATGGGCAGTTTTATTTTTAAACAATCACGAGAGTCTCATTTTGGTATGTTTTTGTACTGTTGCTATTATTAAATTTCAATGGGTTGAGCTTAAAAATAGTTATGCATCAATCTCGCTCTAAAAGAGCCAGATAGACTAAAACAAAATTGCTAATACTCAAGAGTCTCAAAGTAAATATATACTTTATTTGAGATATCAATAGTTAAACATATTTACTTTAAGTGCATGATTATCTATGTGTTTTAGTTTTACAAGAGAAGTGTGGCACCATGATGGTAAAAGATTGAAATAAGTACCTCAAAAAGCACTCATAATTAAGGAAAAAGTTTGACGAATATGGATATATATTTAGAAATGATTTATTTGCTTTTTTTAAAGGTTCTCCCCCCTCCAATTTTTGTGTTTTATTTACTTTTGTTGGAATTTTATTTTTCCATTTTGTTTTATGCCTAAAAAAGATTATTTATAATATTTGATTCAATTACTATAAGTAAACAATATATGCGTTTCAGTCAATATATTTTTAGAATATACATGATTTAATTTTTATTATTGAAAATAACTTTTATATACTTATATCCCTAAACAAGTAGCATAATAGACAGTTGATCATATTAATTCATATTTATTTTTTTCTGATATGCTAACACTCCTAAACAAGAAACATATTCGATAGTTGGAACATATTAATTTGTACTTTAAAAAACCCATACAAGTACTTGATTAAAGTGGTAAAAGTATATGACCAAGTTAACTACGATCTATGATTAAATATGCGCATGAACAAATGTAGTAATGATTGTTGGGAGAGGTTTGTCTTCCGAAAAGTAACTATCCGATTCGAAGACGGATTAGTTAGAATAATGACTTCGAACACCGGATGCGCTATATACCAAAAACGGAAGGGAAAAAAAACATATAACATTCTTGATTTCGGATTCTGGGTGCTTACTACACCAAAAAACGGAAAAAATAAAACATATGATTTTTTTTATAATAAAATAATAATATATTAATGTTACTCTAAAATATATTAAAATCCGCACAACGTGCGGGCATAATACTAGTGTGAGCTAAATGTATATTCACTTACTCCTAAAACGTAGGATCGGATTTCACTTTAACAAAATTATAATAGAGTAATCTTTCGGGATGAGAGGAGTATTAATCTGGTCCTGGAAAAATATAAGGTAAATGTATGTTCTCCTCATTTTAGGAGGGAGGAGTACATTTTTTTTCCGTTTGTTTCCAAAGTTGACAAACATACATGAAAAACAAAGGCATAACAAACACCAACACCACCCCCAAAAAAAAATTCTTTATTTTTAATAAAATCACGTTACTATGAAATGTGAAGCGCCCACAAGAACTTAAAAAATCCGGAGTCTCCACACTCCAAGACCACTGGAAAACGCTCAAAGCCCCTGGTTTTCCACTTTTCCCATTAGCGCACGCACACACACTCACACACTGACCTCCCCTACATGTCGTATATATTTATAACCCAGATCATTTCCAAGAGCCCCATCCAACAAACAACCAAAAATCAAACAGAGAAAAAGAAACCAAAAATCAGCAAAATTCAGATCACAATTTCATCCCTTTTTATATCATCAACAGAGAAAAAGCCAGAGAAAAGAAAAAAAAAAAAAAAGATGAGTTCAACGAGGAGGGCATGGATTGCAGCAGTAACTGTCGGTGCAGTACAGGGGCTCAAAGATCAGGGATTGTGCCGATGGAAGAACGGGAGTTCCTCCATTAGGTCGGCGGTTCAACAATTTGCCCACAAGAATTTGGTGGCCGGCGCCGCCGCTCCCTGCATTTTTCCGTCCAATTCTCCTTCTGCTTCAGTTACGAATTGGAAAGATGGAGAGCAATTGAGAGTTTCTGAAGAATCGTTACGGAAAGTCATGTATTTGAGCTGCTGGGGTCCAAATTGATTAGAAACCCCCCAGATGTAGAATTAATATTAATCTGTAATTTTCATATATATATACATATGTATACATAATGAAATGAAGTCAGCACTTGTGATATGAATTGAATGCAGTTAATTAGCAAGCTTAATCAGCATAACTTGGGATTTACCAAAAATCTGGCCTTCAAAAAAGAAATAGAATAAAAGAAGTGTACCAAATTCAGGTCTATATTTCATACAAGAAAAAAATCTTCAACCGCTGACATTGCAGCATGTTATTGCTACAAAATATTAGCCGAACATCAAATTACAATTTGGTCAGACATAAAAGATTGTAATTTCGTGGAGTTGCCACTCCTTGGACAAAATTTTAATGGCGGTGTCCTTCATTCATGTAAGTTATGTAACTATAAGGGTGTCTATGGTTTTACCAAACCGGAAAAGTACTTCAAAGTTTAAACCAAATGGGAACCAATCAAATGCTGTGAACCAAAAATTAAAAAGAAAAAGGAAAGGTTAACCGTTCACTTTCTTCGAACTATTTATAACTGATGAAATATGCATATTTCCTTTAAAACTTTTTTTTTCTTTTTGGTCATACGAGCAATATTTCCATTTTTGTGAAAAATGAAATATTGTGTTTTAAAAATCACCGAGATATCAAAGTTGAACCGTTTTGAATAAGAAACATATGAAAAAGAAAATGAAAATAATATATGAGGAGAAAGATGTAAGGAGGAAGAAGAAAAAGAAAGACATATGAGAAACTGTTAAAAAAAAAAAAAACAAAACTCTATCACGTGATGGAGATTGCTGTTTTTTTTTTTTTCAATAAAAAAATTATTTTTCGACAAATCATTTGATCGTGGGCCGTTGGGACGTTGTTACGAGGGCCCGGTTTGTTGGCGTTTATAAACCCGGCCGAAAGAGGTAAGCCCATATGGGAATAACCTCCGTGTCAAAAAAGGTTAGGGTTTAATGATAATAATCTATTTATCCACATTTCGGGAAAAAAAAAAAAACAAAGAACTAGTAGCATTTTTATTCACCACTCTGCTCGCAGCCGACTTCCATTTCCAGTTTCCACTTTTTCAATCCCACAGTCTCTTCTCTGGTGTTTTTTCTTTCGGTCTGGGCGCTGTGGGATTGTAGGAGAAGAAGATGGTGAAACAGTACGGGATCCGAAGCTCTGGCAGCTTGATTACTCCACTCCGAAAGAAAGAGCGGAAGAAATAAATACACGCGAACCTACTTTTAACGTTCGGGCAAATGGCGGCTTTTTGACACCGGCGTCGTCGTAAGCTCCCTCGAATTCCTAGCTAATCTTGGTGTGGCGATTACCCATTCAAAGCATTTGATTGCGGGGTTTTGTCTGAGCAGGAAACCATCCAATCACGCATATGCTTTGTAATGCCCTGCCCCTATTTATGGTTTCCCCATCTCGGCCCAAGAAACTGGCAGGCATGCGATAAAACGTAGCCTAGTGGGATGAGAGCTAGGCCTATTGTAATTATTAGATTTCTGGATTCTGATTGAAAATTGCTCATTATCAGCTCCACCTTCAATTAATCTTTGTATGAAATCAATCTGAGTTTATAGATCCATCAATAAGATGTTACGGCGTTTTGTTCCCAGATTTATGGTGTATGCTACCAACAGACAGAGCTAATTAAAGGGGCTAACGTAAAGAAAAAGAAAAAAAGACTAAGAGAATGGGTAATATGGACCGTATGGTTGGATATGTTGTTCATGATGAACGCCCCCAATTAATTAAATGTGTGCAAATTGAAACAAAAACTTCATAAATGCATGCTTTGTTAAAATTGTCTATCAATTAATTTTCCCCCTTGTTATTAAAATATCTTACATTTAATATATTTTTTTTGGAAATACTAAATTTAGTGATAGTCAAGTACTATATCAGTATATTGTATTGAATTTATTTAAAAAATAAAAAATTTGTTAAAATGAGACAGATTAAGTGTATTTCATGTAGTAGTGTTGTACTCCCTCCATTTTTTATTTAAATCGATTAAATAAAAAATACGAATTATTCTTAAAAGAATAAAAAAAATAAAAAATAAAAAATTAATTGAAAGGACAGGAAGTGAGTTACTACACATAAATCTATGCCCAGATTTACAACATTTAATTTACAACAGTTAATTTATACCCGAATTTACATAAATCATAATCCGATATCTACAACAAAAGAATTAACAAAAAAAGTCATCCTTAAAAAAAATCAAATTTCTTTCATGACAGTTAATTTTTTTCTCTGTTGTAGAAAGAGATGGATTGATAATTGATGTCAAATTTTAAGTAATTGATTTAAAGGACCGAATGTGAGAGAGGAACGGAATGGAAGAGATCCTTCGAAATTGGAGATTGGGGAGACATTACTGGTGTTTCATTTGATTTAAGGGGATTTCCTTACATTTGATTTTATCTATTAAATATTGTATATTGTTGTTTAAGGGATTAGTACATACATATAATTAACAGATTTTTATATAGCTATAATTAAGAGATTTATGTATTTATCTATTCCATCCTTTTTTTTTTTCTGATTATTTAGAGTGCCACGTGTCATAAATAATTTTGTACTGAAAATGATTTTTGGCGGAAAATTTTTCATTGTGGTGCTGGCACATATCTTTTTTGTTTCCTGCTTTAATTAAGTACTATAAATATGAGGTTAATGATTTAACGATTATTTGAAAATTCTGACGGAGTGATATATGTTAAAAAAAATTATATTAATGATATAAATTATAATTGTGTAATTTTGAATGTCACGTGTTTTGTTATTTTAAGTACATTTGGAATACTTTTCAATGTTTGAAATCATCCAATATAACATATTGTTTATCTTTTTGCATTTTATTGATTTATGATTTTATATTTTTTAAATGTATTCTCTTAATTTTTTTATAATAATCTCTCTGAATGTTTTTACCCGTGTCATATATCTTCTAAACACCACTCTAACATGAAAATTTTTCACTATTTCTTTATGTAAACTTATCTATATTTTTCATCTTTTTGTATACATTTTACAACCTTTCTTTAGAATTTTGTTCGTATATTTTTCCTATAATATAGTACTTACTATTTTTCCCTAAATTTGATGACCTCTCCTTAAATATTATTTTCTTGAAAATTAACACATAATTATCAAAATCAATATTGATTGGTGAATTGAATTTTCTCATCTTAACCGTCAATATTTTTTTTACATCAAATTGGTTTTTTTTTTAATTTTTTTTTAGTTGCCTATCTTTGGGTTTAATAGTTTGAAATTTCTTTTTGGTCACCTTTAAATTATATTACGTAAAGAAAAGTACTTATATAGAGAAAAATATTTATTATTAGTTTTTAACTATATTATTTTTGGATTTGTTAGGCCACAGGATCTTTTTTCCTATAATTTTATTTTTAGTCCACGTAACATAATGGATGAATTGGGAGGGATGCGAAAATTATTTTCTTTTCTTGTGGTAATTAGGTAATTAGTGATTGATATGGTTGGTAAAAAATATATTATCTATTAGAGTTTTGAGAAATTTCTCAGTTAATTTAGTTTTATCTATAAATTTATAATTTTACATTAAAAATCATCATTAAATGATAGACTGATGTGGTTGCGACATGTGGAATTGGATGTCTAATTTTACGCCACGTGGATTAGCCTATCTAATATCGCGCCATGTGTCCGATTGAAAACTCTCCTTTAATATATTAAAGATATTAAAGATATAGAGATTATCATGCCACCCCTCCATTGGTTTTTGAATTTTCTATTTTTTTGAAAAAAAAGAAAATTATTGATTTATCAACACAAAATGAAAATGATTCTTGTGATTCATGTCAGAGCATCGGACGGAGTTACACATTAATGCATTGACAATGAAACAGATTGGAATTGTAAATGAGTCAAAACAATATTTAGTAGATCTTGCCACTGGGTGATTGAACTCTTCATTCCTATAGGAAAGTGCTTTTGCTTTTGGGCATTACTCTGTTTTTGGTTTTCTGCTCAAGTGTGTGATGAAGATGACTAATGCGGCTGAACAGTTTTTGGTTTTGATAGAAGTTTTTAGAGACTAATGATGCAATGTATTCGATCAAATCAAATTATGTTGATCTTTATTTAAAATAATGTACTTGGTTCATTTCACAACGATCCAATTGCTAGAATTCTGGTCTCTATAGTGTGATTGATGTAATCCTGGTGAACATGTCACCACCGGATTGAACTAGAACTGAACCATGTCATCAGAACTTCGATTCTTCTGAATCCCAATGCTAGTTGAAACCAAATCCAAATTGGAAAGCAAAACCAAAACTGATCCTACGGAGGAGTAATTCGGTTACGATTCTATTGATTGGTGATTTTTGAAACCGTAAAGATTCAATAATCATTGTCACTTTAATTATCATTATTTTGCGCGTTCTGTCTTAGTACTTCCAACAACTGAAAAACAAGACATACAAACAGCACATTACATGCTCGCCGGCGGCCGGCATCAAGTTAATTGGTACGGTCACTGGCGGCAGTCGGAGTCCGCCAGCCGTTTAACCATTTGAGATCATCGTCTCTGGGATCTCTTCTCATGGCGATATAAAACCCATCTGGTTGGGTCACCCAATTACACACCGCAGTTTTGTAACAATGCTCATTCACATGACCATCATAAGTCACAAAACTTGCGTCTTTCTCAGCCCACCAGAACTCACCCCTGAACGAGGTCGACGCGCCAACGTTCACCTTGAAAGTCCAATAAAATGACTGGTTTGGATTCAGATAGTGGTACCCCAGATCATCTTCGCTTGACCAGATATGTAATTTCAGGGGAAATACGTTGTCCGGAAGCCAATTGGTGATGTAGCAATGAATCCTCTGTCCCCATCCTGAAGGAGTACTGCTACTGTTAGTAGCAGCTTCAACCTTGTTAATACAGAGTAGTACGATGACGATGAACAACAAGCCAAACAGCTCCTTATTAGAGTCTTCAACTTTGGAACTCATAATTTTTTTGTTTTGCTATAGTTGGAAGAAAATGCAAGTCTTTTGTCACAGTTTTTAAGGTTGAAATCTATTTGAAATTAAGAGATAAATCCATGGATGCATTTATTGAATCGGTTGTCTGGTCAACAATCTCATGGAATATTCCCATTTTTATTCGATGAAATGAATTGTTTTTAATTGGGAACTGCAGAGAATAACAAAATTATGATAATAAAAATATTGTAACGTATTATTCAACAAAATAAATTGTTTTAGTTGATAGGGCTGAAAATCCGTAAACCTAGGTCAATTCTGATTGATAGGGCTTCCGTAGAATAACTGAAAACCTAAAATTAACACTAGTTTAAATCACCAACATATGGAACAAGATAAACTAGTCTACTAATTCGATCACTAACAAATGGACCAAACGAATTAGGTTTGAGAAATCAATCTCTTTTTTTCATTAAACAAAAAACAACCGTCTAACAAAGAGGGGGCCGAAGCCTTTAAATAATAAAAGAAACGATGGAAAACTAAACCCTAATAAAAAACTAAAATTACTAAATTACCCAAATGAGAAAATCCTAATCCCTTTTACCCTATTAAAGCAGAAGACATGAAGCTTATGTGGCAACTATATATGCATCTGTTTTGGCTCCAATGCACCATATTTCAGATTTCATAACTCTTTTTGCCACGTGTAAGTCTCTTTTAATTAGAAGCTATATAATTTTTTTTTTTTAAAAAAAACACATGTTTTACTACAAATAAGGATCAGTTACATTTCAAACGAATGGATATATTAATTCAAATTTAAATGTCCAATCGTATAGTTTTGCAGGCTTAATATAAACAAAAAATAAAAATACCTAAATCCAACAATTAAGAATAATGCCTTATAAACCAATTATTTATTATTCCGTTATAACATCAGATTTATAAGTATATTTTTTTAAGCCCCAAACCATAGTATAAATGATATATACGCCAAATTAAATCCTCAAAAAATAGTAATTCAATTAGATTTTAATAAAATAGTAATTTAGAGGGGGCGCCCGGGCATCTGTCCGGGCCAAGCATCTAGTCTAATTTATTGATTTAATTCTAGCCGCCATCATTAATAAATCTCTTTTCCTAGCTGCCATCAGTTTGTGTGTGCGAAAGTGAGTTTACTTTCCGCTCAAATAGATTACAAGCTATTTATGCGTGTTAAAGATTGCCTTGAATTTCTTGCTATGGAGTTCTTCCTTACTAAAGTTTTTTGTAAATTTGTTTGGTTCTTAGTAGCCATCTCATTCTCCATAGAAAACAATCTCCAAAAGCTCAGCGAGAGGTGAGGTTAATTAGAAACTCCAAGGATTTTGAATCCTGAGAGACTACAACTTAATTTTATTGTTTCAACTGGTAGGTTCGCTTTATGATCATGTTGAACAACTGTACAGCAAAATTATTGCTCGTTTTTGGTTTTCTGGTTGTTGTTTATGAAAACAAAATGCACCGTAATAATCTGGGGAGATCTTGAAACTTTAAAAATCTAGGATTATTTGATAAATGTTCTGGCAATAGAATTACTTACGTACTACAATAACAAGTGATCAAAGTCATCAAAGTTGAGACGATAGACCCAACTTGCACGACTATGATCTTTCCATACAATTTTCTTTTCTTTCTCCTTTTGATTTTTTCTTTTTTACACCATACAATATTCCGACATGATTGTCTGATTTAAATTTTCATTTTTAATACGAATTGTACTAAAAGTACTGAAAACTCAAATTAAAAAAAAAATTTGTCGGACATGGGGACTATCAATCAAGTTTCAAAATTTTTCACCCCTTTCTTAAAGTTTCAAACCTTATACACGAAGAAGAGTAACTGCATGTACTTCCATTAAACACACCAGGTGGTGTCGTTGGGAATGATTGACTGCACCGGAAATGGGCATCCACTTAGGCGAATTTGCTCGATCCGCATTTATAACTGCGATTAACAAAGAACTCATGAACTTTGGGCCTTTTATGATTTACTAATTCATATGGTTTTGTAGTGATTATTGTTCTTCCAAATGAGCCAGTTGGTTGATTAATCTTCGCTTTCGACAACGACACCTGATCCATTATCTAATTTTATGAATTAGACTACTTCTATATGAAAAAAGGTAATCAATACGAAAATATATATTTTTAGTACAAATCACAAAATGCAAGTGAATTATTTCTTAGTACAGAAGGAGTATGTATCATTATCATTATATTTGTAAGTAAAGTTCTAATATGTACACCATCTTATGTTACAAAATTAATACTAATAAACTTGGAATTGATGTCCTGGTCTTCGTTTTTCTTCCAAATGAGAGAAAGGTTTAAAAATAGGTCTAAAATTGTAAGTAATGTCCTTCACTGCCGCGGACACATAGATAGAGATGGCGCATGCTCACCTAACACAGTTCTCCCTTCATCATTGCTTTAAATATTTAGCGGTGTGTTTAAAATTTTAACTGTATAACTATTTCACATTAGTCTTTCGAAATCAGCTATACGCTTAACAAGATTTTTTACATCAGATACAATGAGGGAAACCGAAAAACATCTCGTAATCTCCAGGTGTTTCAACGCAAGGGACGGGCCACAAACTTCAAATTTCTGCAAATCATGATTGCAGCCCATTAACACCAGATATCCAAGAAAAGGGCAATTATGCAGGAAAAATTCGAGTACTTGCCCAGACACATTTACATTCTTCAAAGTCAAAGTCCTCATGGATTGAAACCTAAAGACTGAATCAGAATTGATGCCTTTCTCAGAACCCTGCCCAATGAGTTGAAGAGGAAAAACATAAGGCCTATAAGCCGCGGCAACACCCAATTTCAACAAGTTTCACTCTAGGCTCTGCACACTTCTTGTAGATGCATAGTTTAGCCATGAATCAATGGCATCTGCGTGTTTACAGCTCCAGCCACACTGAATTCGGAAAACATCCAAAACAGGGGCTTTATGTGATTCCAGCACCTTGTTCACCCAATTCATATAATTTCGACGAATTCTTCCTTTCACTTCAGTACGTTCCGATGTACCCAGATTATAAATCCATCTGTGCCCTGCCCACATCTTTGCTGAGTCGAAATCGAGCCTAGTAACTGACATCCTAAGATCAACCAGATAGAAAGTATTCTATAGTAAGGAAACTATTGTATTTGATAGCATAGAATCAATTGTAAATAAAGTCAAATCGCATCATGTAATTATCTTGATTCTGTTTTATTCTATATATAATGAAACACCACACACAGTGATCTCTCATTGAGAATTCATCTATTTTTCATTCTTTTATGGAATCACGAGTCTCTTTCAGCCATGACAGCATCTATTTATTGCTCCTCAATTTCGTATTCATCCTGGGGCATTGGACCAATCATAGCGCGTGATTATTGTGACTAATAGGGTTGCGAAAACAGTAATAGGAAAACGTTGTGAACGTCCTAGGATTGTAACTAATGGAGTTTTGCGCAATTAACTCAAATGTACCACGCAGTTGAACCTGAATACATAACATGTGATCCCATGTCAGAGAATTGAATAACCTCTATCTGTCTCATTAAAATTTCTACAACCAACAAATCACCAACTCGATAAAGTTTCTTCCCATAAATCCCCCATATGTACACCCCAAGTCCCAACTTCATTCAAACCCCCAACTCGATCCCTTTTGATAATTGTTAAAAATCCTTCTAATATCTCTCTCTTCAATTTTGTATGTGAATTATTCACTTCAAACATCAAAAGCGTAGATGCAGAGAAGGAAGGGACTGAAGAAAGGCTTGAGGTGCTGTTGCAGATCTCTGAAATGGAACTAAAGCTGCACATCTCCTCAAATCTTGACGTCTCTAGTGTTCTTATAAATTGGAGGCGGCTGGATGGCGTTCATTGGTGGTATAATTGACTTTCTAGAATTCCTCGCTACACTAAACAAAGATGCTCTGGTCCATCTGCGCGCTATGGGAACAGAAACCTCCTAGCCATAGCTTGCAAAATCGCGGTCCTGGCTTGATCCTACGATCCGGGTAACGAAATCGATTATGGATCGGATTGGATCGTCTTTTGATGTGGAATCAGAACAGACTCATCGAAATCGATCGGAACAGTGGTATCAGACGATATACTATCCAGTTTACCGTTCCCATCACAATTACTCCAATTCACGAAAAAAGTTTAACAAGAAGATGAAAAGAGGGATAAAGTTGAAGAAATTGACTTTTTTTTTAGAGTTGTTTAGGAGAATTACTCCATCAGAATTAATTGAGACAAGGATATGTTTATGATAGTTTATATGCTCTGTTTTTTTTTTTCCCTTGCCGGAACTCTTTCTGCTCACAGGCAACGTTGAGGGGGAAAAGGAAAGGGATGGCATAACTATGTACTTTTCTACATTACTATGGCACCGAGAAGACGAAAAAAAAAAGAAAAGAAAAGAGAACGAGATTGACGGTCATATCCTTTCTTTCTTCTATCACAATAGTTCATTTTCCTACATGCCTAGGTTGCTTTAACAAAGTGAATTAGGTGTTAGACCCATCCGACGGGGAGCATATATACATAGACATTATTACACAAGTAAATCAAAAAAATGTTAATATTTGTATAGAATTTTGTATTTTTATAAAATATATAATGAATTCATTGAAAAATATAAAACACAAACATTGACAACACTTTATCAAACGAATACACTGGTAATTTATTTAACGCAAAAAAGATTGTTAAGAAATTAAAAAAAAAATGAACTTTGAATTAAATAATTATATATCTTGCAATATTTCTTGGTAGACTACATTGGTAGTCTGAGGTGAAAAAGTTGGCTAGGGTGGTTAAGAGATTATGATAAGGAATTTTTTTTTTTTTTTTGAAAAAATTTATAATAAGGAATGGTTACTACAAAAACAACAACCCTAACCTGTTGTAGAGGTCATCCAATTTTTTTAATAAGAAAAATAAAAAAAAAAGGTTAGATATCAGGACCTTTATTCCTTGTCTCGGAGTGACTTTTGTTTTGAGTGTTTTTATTTTATTATTTTCTTTTTTAAATATGATGCATTCTCACTTTCCTTCATTTTTTATTTTTTAGCCTCATTTGTTCGTTGGATTTAGTTCTTTTTTATTACATATCTAATAATTTATCTTTAATTAACTTACCCGTTGTCAGAAATATTTTATTTAAAATGTGAGGGTGGGACTATTTTTTTACCCTTAAATAATAACATTTACCTATTTCTTTCTTCATTAATATCTTTCTAGACACTTTTAAAAATGTCAAATCCATCCTGCTCATTTTTTTTCGAATTAAAGTTAGATTTTCCAAGAAAACAATTTCTAGCAACAATTAATATTTGGAGGGGTTTGGTCCGAGATGCGTTTTAATCAAGCTTCCTACAATTCCTTGCTAAATTCAGTTCACAAATTCCCTGTCCTTGGGGAGCAAAATTCTCCCCTGAAGCATCCATGGTCTTGGTCCACAGATTCCTTCTCTCAAGGAACACTAACATAAGAGATCACCAAAGACACTGCCATGATGTTTCGCAACTTCGCTCCATCAATTTTCAATTCGTGTAAAAATGTATTTATTGTACTTATTCTCAATATCTAGCAGGGAGTTTTTGGGTTGCTTGAGCGGAAGTGTTTACTTCCTGGGAAAGTCATATAGCTACCTTAAGCCATCTTTACTGTATATAGAACGAATAACTTTTCTATTTTATTATTAATTAAAATGAAAAACAAAATTAAGGCATAATAGAGTTATGATAATTTTCCCCAGAGAAAAGAAGCACAAAAAAAAAAGAAAAAGAAAACCGAATATATCATCAACATTCTAGCATATCATCATAACTCATACTGAAGTCATGTCACGAACACCCAAAAGTGATCATACTTTTACTTTCAATGCAACAAGCCATCCACATGCAAGTAAATGTCATTGCCCTCTTATTTTGTTGTTACTTGTTTCCTACTTCGTAGAAGTTGCAATTCTTTTATTTAAAAAAAAAAATTGCGAAACTTAATTTGGTTTTTACCACAGGTTCTGATACAGATTGCACAATTCTATACGACACGTTGTGTAAAATAATTCTCTAAAGTCTCTGCGCACGCTATCTTTTTGGGACATAGATAGTAAACAGTACCCACTTTTGAAAGCATGGTATAATGTAAATGATTGCAGATGCCATTTTTTGTGAGATTTAACGTACGCCCACCTTAATTTGATTAATTTCCTGAAATTCTTCCCACGCATAGAAGTATAAAATTCATTTGGAAACAAAAAAAGAAAGGGGAAACAGTTTACCGATTAATGCTTCAAACCCAAACCTCATCGTACTTCAAAGATTAGGTTAGAGTTCTCGTGAAGATCATGTAAGAGGTGATTCGCCGCAAAAGATGTTTTACACATTTTCTATGACGATTGCATAAATTTTGTAAGGAAGATAATTGTCTGTGAGTACTTCATCCGTTCCTTACAGCATTTTGATTTATACTATATTTCATTTATGATTTTTTCTTAATTAAAAATAAACTTAAAAGTATCTTATAATAATTGAGAGAATACAATTAATGTGAAACTACATTTTTAATATTTCTTTTCAATTGGAAGAACACAATAAATGAAACTTAACAGAAATCTAAAGGTCTTCTAATAAGGATCACCGGGAGTATAATATTCCTCTTTGTATCTCAAAAAAAAATAAAAATAATTCACATTGAGTTTAGAGAGTTATGCTAGTTTTAGTATAAATTTGAAAACCTCAATATGAACTATTTTATGGGACTGATGAAGTATAAAACTACTAGTGTTGTCTCATGGTATTTGTAATTATTTAAACGATATTTACTACCTGTAAAACAAATGTTTTTTTATTAGAAACATGCTCAGTACATTTTGAGTGTAAGGTTAATTTTTGTCCTAATTTTTCCCATCTATTTGTAGTGTTTCAGTTTGTTAGTTTCGCGTGTAGTAGTCACTTCTCTACATTGGATGACTCGAGAAGATAATTCAATATTCATAACTGTGTAATGGATTTATGATTTTAGATATTAATTGGATGAATTACAATGTCTTCCTGATGGACTATACATCCCCCATTAATCTATGTACGTTAGTTTACTCATAACACAAAAATGTGTAAAAACTTTTGATTTTTGATTTTTTTTGAAAAAGAAAATTATGCAAGTTCATCTATTTAATTAGGACCAATATGAAATCAAGAGTTTGAGTTAACGAAAATGAGTAAAAGAAAGGGTTCATAGTGAAAGATTTCATTTGATGGTTAAAGTTTTTAGAAGATTAAATTTTGATAAGTTAAGGAAAATGAAAATGTTATTTGAGGAATATAAGCAAACTTAATAACTTCTATGAAACTTGAAAGATTGAAAAACGAACCAAAATTCATAAAAACTTAGGTTCCATTTGGACAAGTGTTTTGAAAATTTGTTTAGAAAAGTCTGTTCGAGCCAAAACTTAGAAAAACATTTTTTAGAAAATAATGCATTTGGACAAGAATTTTTCAAAACCCTTTTAGTAATTAAAAATATTAAAAAGTTATTTGGACTAGGTCTTTTTCAAAATTACTTTTTCTTCAAAATAATTTGTGAACCTTTTTTTTTTTTAAAAAAAAATTCATTCTTACACAAATTGTCATTTTCATTTTCTTTTACTTTTCTTTCCTAAATTTTTGTTTTCTTATTTACAATTATCTTGTTCCAAAATAATCTTTTCCACACTTTATCTTCCAACATAAATCAAAATTAGAGTATAATCTTAAAACCATTAATTATGACTAAATTAAAGCATAATATTAAAACCATTCTAACTAATTAAATGCATAATAAGTTTAGAATATTGTTATCAAGAGATTTTTAAACGTCCAACTCTAAAAAAAAACTACAAATAGTTCATAAGAATTGGAATAAATACACAATATTTTAAATTCTACACATTCAACACATATGAATTCTACAATATTGAAAACCCTAACACGCATTCCACATTTGTGTTGCTATGGTCTTTTCTAAACAAATTTTCAAAACTCTTGCCCAAATGAAACCTAATTCTCAGACCATAAAATTTTCGCACAAGCTGTTTTGCCCATATAGACAAGGTTATGCTCAGAAACAATAAAAAACTTTCATTTATTTTCACGTCAACAATATGGTTTCAAATAATCAAGCCTCATTTTACCATGGATTTTAATACATTAGAGGGGAGAAGAAAAAAAATTTGATAATAAGGAACGACGTAAAGGTAAAACAAGGTAGAGGAATTTTGTTAGAAGACAAAATCTGTGGTACAAAATGAATACACTAAAATGAGATTTCACAGGGAGCGTGAAATGTTCTTCCACGACAAATGGCTTCCAAGTTTTCACCAGCATATGAACAGAGGAGTGAGACCTCCACACCTGAGGTCATGAATGAGAAATGAATAAACCATGTGTAGATTTCACACTAACTGCTTCATGTAATACGTCCGGAGAATGCAATAAACAATCAAAAATTACTTATATAGGGTGTATGTGGCAAGTGATTATCTTAAGATGTCAGAAAATATGATAAACCACGAGAATTACCAGTCGCGTATAAGGGCACTGAATGAGTCAAGAAACCCCCGGCTGCAACAACCCAACGAGCGTGGAGACGGAGAAGCAACAGTCTGGCACTGTCTGGAGTGTCAAAATTAGACCCATTGGCATTTTTCACGGGTGCAAATTCCTCTTCACGTAGTACCTATATTTTGGGAAATACATGTTCAATTACTCAATATTTATGTGTTTATTACACTTCTGTCGTAATTCAAAAGTTCATCATTGTGAAAATAACAAAAGGATGAGTACAATTAATTTGTCAAATATCTCAAAATGTGATTACCTCAAACAGAGCTGTAGAAGGTGCATAAGGAAATGCATCAAATATAAATTGCTCCAGCTTGTACCCTAATGATTGCCCCTGGATTGATGGGATTTTTTTCTCAGCAAGATAATAGATGCACTCACATGGTAATGCTTTCAAGATCAGTCCCCAGACTGAATAACAGTATAAAATAGTAATCTTACAAGTTTCTGTCCATTTCATCACCCACAAAACAGTTCCAATTTATATTCAGATACTGTGTAAGAAAAGTGCTTGAGAAAGTATTACAAATGCATAAGGGAAGACTAAAAGGCAGAGTGGGAGGGGGAAGAGAGATTAGGAGCAGAAAAAATGGCAGAGAGAAGCAAACATTTTGCCCAAGTAAAACCAGAAACTTCAGTAGCTCTTACAAGAAGGAACTTGACAAACATATTCATCTCAAATTTTTCCAGTATTTTATGGATTTTCATAAGATATTAATAAAGAATCGAAAAATAACTTTGTTCTAAATATTCTTTCATCTTATTGTGCAAAGAGAATTGAAACGTTATCATGCTTGGCATAAATGAGGCAGAAAGCAGCATGAATTACAAATATACGAGGAAAGACAGAATGAAAATTTCGTTCAATTTCCAGATTTCAAGAATGATGGAACTCTCAGCCACTGAGTAAGGCTAAAATAAAAAGTAAGACAAACCAAAAAAGAAAACTGTAATAGCAATGAATAATAAAGATTTTAAAAAATTGAATAAGTTAAGAGAGTGTAAGAAAGATGACGTTACTTACATGTTGTCTTTCTCCAAACCATTTGCCACTTGATTCAGAAAATCTAAAGAGAACATGTGCAGGCAAACCTGGAAAACAATCAAGAACAACCACTTTAATCAATATACGAGATTATAGTTAAAGAAGAAGACCAAACACAAGAAGTGACAAATAATATGTTGTGGGAAAGAAATATTGAGAAAAGTAACTATTAGGATAAAAAAGGAAGACACATGGACAATACGTTGCTCCAACAGAAGCGAAGGCGGCCAGTCTGCTGATTAATGGCACTAGACAGTAACTGGTCCAACTCAGAGTACTCAACCATAGCGAGAGGCCCACCCTTCCCGCGCCGCACAAACACCCCAACCTTTTCTTGCGGGTATGCCTAAACAAATCAGACAAAAACAGATGCATAAATTAATTAAGAGACCTAAAAAAGCAGAACACAGACGATGGTGGCAGTCGCATGGTTTGCATTACAACTTCTTAAAGATGTGCATCAAGAAGCAAATTCACTAAAATGCCGACTTTGACATACATATGACCAAAAGTAAGATTTGACATAAAAACCAGACCAACCCTGAAATATACATGACAAATTTGAAAAGTTAGTTTGCATTCTACGCAACAGGATATTTTAGTAGGTCCAATCTGTGCAGCTAAAACAGAAAAATTGAAAACCACAGGATACTGTTGCTATTCCATTTATAAACCAAAAGCCAAAAATAATGTGTACGAGTTCATCAAGTATTAAATTATTCCATTTATTTATGCAAGACATGCAATTATCCAATAGGCATACATATAAAAGCTATAAGGCACCATTTCGAAACAACTTTTAGCAAGAGAAAAGTCTTGCATAAATAATCTTAGAAGTAGGTTCTTTTCTATTATAAATTGGCTTCAGCAAAGAAAGCCGGCTACAGCCTAAATTCAGACTACTTCAAGCATAACATCTGTAAGAACTAGCTGACTAAGAAGATGAAGATGATCGATAGAGAATATTTATAAAAACATACCTTCCGGACCACCTTTGCGGCAGTTGCCACACCTTTATCAATAAAATAACCCAAGTTGGATCAGCAACTCTCAAGAACACTGGAAACAAACACACTTCGAATATGATTCCCATGGCACAACAACTGGAAACTGGAAACTGGAAACTGGAAACTGGAAACAAACCCACAAAAATGTTCCCATGGCAACTGAAAACAAACTCACTTCGAATATGATTCAATAAATAAAACTCATAAAAAAATTTACACAAATCCCTACTGAAGTAACAAGGATTTGAGTGTAAATCCAAGTATTCGAAGTGATTGGAAGCCAAACCTAATCTAATAAAAAAGAAAAAAGAAAAAAACGGGAATAAGAAAGATTACCAGAACAAGGTATTGCCTCCTATTTCGCCGTCGCCGTCACGGGGAGTTTTGCCATTGCTGTCGCCGTCGCCGTCACTGGGGTGCTGAAGGAGAGAGAGTGAGAAAGGGGCGGCGGTCTAGGGTATGACCGATTTCTTCATAACCCGTATTCGACCCAAATTTCGACCCGCGAACGGAGCAAAAAGCTCTGTTTAAGAAATTGAAAAACACCCTGTACCTATTTTCTAAAAAGTCTGTTTTAAGCCTTCTTTTTTTTCAAATTAATGTTTAGAAAAGATTTTAATTATTTTGTCCAAACACATTTTAAACTCTAAACACACTTTTTAGGCTTAAAAGTCTTTTTAAAACTCTTGTCCAAATGGAGCCTTAGATGAGATATTGATTATAGATAAATGTTGTCCTTCTAACAAAAAGAAGAAAAAGTAATGAGATTTATGAAGAAAAAAATAAAAATATTAGTGTTAATTTAATAAGAAATTTTGATGATAGATTGAAAAAAAAGGACCTTGTTCATTAAATTATGTTCGCAAGATTTGTAAATGTTGTAGCAGTCCTCAAGTGCAGCAACCTAGTTGACTTTCCCTACTTTTGTTGGTGTTGGTATTTTCAACCTTTTCATCAAATTGTTTTGGACAAGTGCCGAAAAGTCCATTAATCAAGGAGCAAATATTCTTGTCGTCTTCTTTGCAATTGAGAGAGAATACAGATCCTTCCCCTGGAGTGTTCTCTCATGCCACTTTTCTTCATCTCCAATGAATCTCAATCCATTTCACAGCACCATCAACAAAAGTAAATACTATGTTGGTACATTAAATTGCAAGTAGTAAATTGAATTCAGACCACAATGAATAAAGCATAATAGCTTGCGACTTCAATATTCCCAAAAGTCAACTCTTGGGGTAAAAAAAAGGACACTATAAAACCCCCCAAAATGTCAACACTCAGACAACAAACATTCAATCATCTCTTCTTCTCCGCCTCTTGCCCAAAAAATCCACCGCTGAAAATAAAAACCAATTACATTACAAAATGGCCCAAAATATGTCAATTTTCTTTCTCCTCCTACCGGCTATTATGATAATTCAAGCTTCATCGAGGCCAATTGACATTAGTTCCACTAATCTCAACCAAGGTAGGAACGACAAAAATACTTATGATCATGAAAAGGGATCGTCTTCTTCAACACCACCGATGATCAAAAGTCGTATCCTCCTCGACAACAGTGCTATACTATACGAGAATTACATGTGTGATGTCTACCCAAAAGTTTGTCATCTAGAAGGAAGTGTGGGAAAAGATTGTTGCAACAACATATGTGTGGATGTGAAGAGTGATAATATGAACTGTTCAAAGTGCGGGCACAAATGCGAGCAAGGCAAAGTATGCTGCAACGGAAAATGCATTGACATTAATACCGACAAACACCATTGTGGTGGATGCAACAACAAATGCTCTCATGGTGTGCAGTGTAACTATGGAATGTGTGGTTATGCCGCCTAATCATAGTTTATTATTCAACAAAGACTATCCACCACGTAATTATATATATATATATATATATATATATATATATATATATTGGTTGAGAGAGCGAGGGGAAAAAAAAAGGACAATACATCAAATCATGTATATTGTTCGAGACATTTATACTTTTACTATGACAATTTTTTTTTTTTTTTGGTCGAATACTATGACAATTTAAATGTCTTAGATTGCATCTCTTAAAACGCAATTGATATTACAACAGTATGGATAAAGAATTCCACATCGTTTTGCACGGGGAAAAATTGACGGATCTATCCAAAGCTTTACATACGTCATCCATTCTATCATATTCTTTTTCGCTTAGCCAATATTATCCTAAACTATCCAACTGTTAGTCGATTTTGTCCAATTTGCTATTTTCCGTCTAAATTAACGAAATTCTATTTATTTTAATTATAAAAATACCCTAATAGTTTTAAAAATTTATAAAAATGATCCAAAAAATTTACAAAAATTATAAAATAGTCTCTTTTCAGTTTTTATTTAAAATTTTCTATTTTTTATTTCTTTTTACTATTTTATATAACTATAAAAATATACTATATGATCTTAAAAAAATATTTATTTTTAAACTTTAATGTACAAATTTTTAATTAAATATTTGTAAGTCATGTTTGATTTACATAAGCATATTAATTTTTTAATAATATGGTTTTACAATAATGATACTATTTTTTAATCTATTTTTTTAATCTAAAGAATAAGTTTTTTTTTTTAATTGGATGGCCCCAGTGAGAATCGAATCCTCGACCTCCCAATAATAACCATCCCCCATCCTAATCCCCTAACCATCCCACCCAACCCTCCCATCCTAAAGAATAAGATTATTTAATTAATACTAATTTTGCACAAAAAAAATTAAACAATTCACATAGTTAAAAAAAATCTATTGCTATACTTTAATGTATTACAATTTAATTCAACAGACTTTAGATTGTATCATAAAATTTAAAAATTAATCAAAACTAAAATATAAATATTCTTTAAAAGGCCAAGTACGAACATAAAGTTAAAAAAAAAACACCATTTTGTTTCTACGTTGGCCCAACACAAGAATATAGTGTCGTGGCATTTAAAAAAATGGTAAAAAATATTTTATAAAAAATATGTATATTTATTACTGCGAAGGTTTAACATTTTGTGATAATGTTTTGAGACACTAAAATATCTAACTTTAGTAGAAAGTCTTTTTTTTTAAAAAAAAAAAATAAAAAAAAAATACTCCAGTACTGGACTCCACCTTTTTTTTTTCATAAAAAAAAATTGGATTTCTCCAGTGAGAATCGAACCTCGAACACAGTTTTAATCATCTCATATCTTAAATCACCTGACCATCCAATTCAACCTTCTTACCTTTAGTGGACCCCGCTTAAACGTGGGTAAAATCACTCTCCCAAATAGAAATCCTTTGGTAATAATTAATCTTATATCTACTCTCATGAAACTTAACACTCTAAACACTAGACAATACCCTATATTTTAATTTAATAATTTTTTTAATTAGATAATACAATATATAGTCTGTTTAGTTAATGTGTAACAAATTAAAATGTACTAATATATATTTTTTTAATCTATGCTAAATGTTTTAATTTTTTGTAAAAAATTAGTTTTAGTCAAAAAAATTTATTCTTTAAATTAAAAAAGACGGATTAAAAAAATAATATCATTATTGTCTAGTCATATTATTAAAAACCTTAATATGTTTATGTAAATCAACCATGAGTTACAAAATGTATATCTATAAATTTGTGCTGTAGTGTTTAAAAATAAATTATTTATTTAAAAGATCATATAGTATATTTTTATGGTTATGAAAAATAATAAAAAGAAATAAAAAAAAGAAAAATTTAAATAAAAACGGAAAAGAGACTATTTTATAATTTTTGTAAATTTTTTGGGTCATTTTTATAAATGTTTAAAACTATTAGGGTATTTTTGTAATTAAAAAAATAGAATTTCGTTAATTTAGACGGAAAATAGCAAATTGGACAAAATCGGTTAATGGTTGGATAACTTAGGATAATATTGACTAACCGAAAAAAAATAAGGTAGAATTGACGACGTGTATAAAGCTTTGGGTAGATCCGCCAATTTTTCCTTTCGCATGGCTTTACTAATTGCTTCTTCTTCTTCTGAGTTTCCTTTGTTTTAAGAGTATAATTGTTGCTTTCTTGAGCTTATGTACGTATATTTTCTCGAAAATTCGAGAGGTATTACGCAGAAGCAATCATGCAAGCCTATGAGAACATTAGAGTACATGTATAAGCGCACTACTTTGGAGCTATGAAAAAGAATAGTTACATGCGTAATATTCCTGCGTAATATTCCTTTGGTTCAAAATATGAATACACATCAATATTGAGTTTTAACTCTTACTGGTTTAAAAAGAAATAGAGTTTCAATTAAAAACTTTCTCTCTCTCAGACATCACTGACTATGGGCGAAAACACGCTCTAGTGTGTGTGACGTTGGTGTCTCCATTCCTGGCACACTCCGGCGTGCTCACGATGGTCGGGAAGCAGAGGCGGAGAGGGAAGGTAGTCGAAGCAGATGTAGAACAACCAGAAGAGGAGACGGTAACAGCCATGGCTTCATCTGACAAAAGCTCGCCGAAAAGGGTAAGTAGCCCTAATTCGAATTTGCTCTCAATTGATGAACAATCTCGTGGTCTTGAATTGTTGTGTAACCAAAAGATAATTCAAATTGGGGAAACATCGAGTCTGAAAGTAGGAACGGGAGAAGAAGCAGGAGCTAGGGTTTCGAATGTTTGGGAAAAAGGAGAATCAACTCTGAAAGAACGAATGAGTCGTAAACTTGCATTTATTGAGCCACAGCAAGTAAACGATAAAATGATAGCAAAAATTGATAGAGATGAGATAAAAGAAAGTAATTGATTACTGGAGGCCGTCTTTGATTTGCTATGTTTTAGTGGCCAACCCACCCTTTTATGTAGTTAATGGTTTTATCCGTAGAATTTGGGATAATATGGTGGTGATAAGGTCTTGCTAATGGAAAATGGAGTCTATATAGTGAGGTTGAAGTCTGTAACAGCCAAGGAAGAAATTCTCAGGCCGAGCATTTTTCACTTTGATCATAAACCTTTCATAGTGAAAGATTGGTCGGTTGAAGCAGGCTTTAAGCTAGAAGACATCAAAAAGGTCCCCATCTGGGTGCAACTCCCCAAACTTCAATTGAAATATTTAGAGTGCCAAGACCCTAAGTAGAATAACTAGTGTTATCGGAACCCCTATAGAAATGGATGAAATGACATTGAGGAGAGATAGAGCTGGTTTTGCTCGGGTTTTGGTTGAAATGGAAATATCAGGAAAAATGCCGGAAGAAATATGGTTTGAGGATGAAGACGGGATCCTGCAAGAGCAAAAAGTTAGATATGAATGGCAACCGGTGCAATGTGATAAGTGCAAAGGATATGGCCATGAGACAACCTATTGCAGGAAGCCAACTGTTCAAGCATGGTCTCCGAAGCAACCTGTCAAACAGAAAGAACAAGAAGTCTGCTTAGTGCAAACAGATAAGGCACCTGATAAGGAAAAGAAGCAAAAACAGCAAGTTACAGAGAAAGATAACCAGAATCAGCAATCTAATGAGGCCGGGACAGTAAAGAACTCACAGCTGGATCGAGGGAAAGCAGTGGAAGAGATTGCACAACTAGTAAACGAAGATGCTAAAGGGGGGAAGGGAGATGAGACAGAGTGACAGAAACAAGATTGGAAAGAACAATTACCATGGAACCAGATCCCCCCCCCCCCCAACTTGGGGAATGGGAAACATGAGTAATCTGTTGTGTTGGAATGTAAGGGGGCTTAACAACTCCCTGAAACACAGAGAGGTTGGAAATTACCTCTCTGTAAATAATGTCAGTCTTGCTGGTTTACTAGAAACTAAATTGAATGGAGTAATGGTGGAGGAACTAATGAAAGGGTTTTTATCAGTAATTATAGGAGTACTTGCAAGGGTAGAATACTTATCTTGTGGAAGAAAGGAGAGTACCAGATCTCCAATGTGCAAATAGGAGACCAAGCTATTCAATGTACAGTTAAGAATGCAAGCAGATGCTTTGATCTCAGTATCATATACGCTCATCATCAAGCACAGGGTAGAGTTGAATTGTGGAATGAATTAATGAGCAGAGGAAGCAACAACACAAGACCATGGCTAGTAATTGGAGACTTTAACAGTATTCTCAGATCAGATGAAAAATTCGGAGGTGTGCAAGGAGTTAGTCAAGATACAGGCTTGTTTCAGATGACGATAGATCAGTGTGAACTATCTGAAATGAAGACACAAGGAGCTGGGTTTACATGGTGCAACAAACAACTCGGGGACAAGAGAATCATGTCCAGGCTTGACCGAGCCTTAGTCAATAAGAAATGGATGGATGTTTTTACAGATGCAGTAACTTGGGTTAAACCAGCAGGCCTTTCAGACCACAGTCCACTGATAATTACTTGGGGAAATGCACCTAAGATCAAGCAGAAGCCGTTTCGGTTTTTCAACATGTGGATCACGCATCCAGAATATGAAGAACTTATTCAAGAAGGTTGGAGTGCCATGGTAAAAGGAACTAAACAACACCAGCTGATACAGAAACTGTCCCCTCTGAAACAGCAATTAAAAGCACTGAATAGAAGGCAGTATGCAGACGTTGAATTACAGGAAATCAGCAAGAGGAAGAATCTGGAAGAAGTTCAGCAGCAGCTCTAACTTGATCCTGGAAATGCTGCACTGCAAAAACAGGAAAAAGAAGCAACTGAAGCTTACAAAAAGGCCAGTATACAGTTTTGGCTTTCTGGAAACAAAGACTCAAAGGGAAGTGGACTCAAGAAAGAGATTCCAACTCCAGGTTTTTTCATGCCTGCATTAAACAGCGGAGGATACAAAACAAAATCTTGGCCTTCACAGATCAAAAGGGTCAACTGATTGAAGATTGGGACCAAGTACAATCTCATTTCCTCAACTTCTATATCAAACTATTGGGTACGGAACAATGTAGGGTTTCTGTCGAAAGTGACACTTTTAACACAGGGATTAAACTATCTGTAGACCAGCAGATTCTCCTGGTTAAAAGTGTTACTAAGACAGAAATTAAAGATGCTTTGTTTAGTGGTTTCTATAAAAGTGTATGGGATATAGTGGGGGATGAACTGAGTGAGGCAGTATTAGAATTCTTTCAAACTAATGATCTTCTAAAACAAATAAATTGTACACTGATCTCCCTCATTCCTAAAACAGCAAACCCTAAAGACGCAACAGAATACCGTCCGATAGATTGCTGCAATACCATTTATAAAACCATCACAAAAGTTATTAGTAACAGGCTGAGAGTAATCCTTCCATATCTAGTAGACATAAACCAAGGTGCCTTTGTCAAAAACAGATCCATACTCCACAATGTCCTCTTCACCCAAGAACTCATTCATCTCTATAAGCATAAAAATATCAAGCCATGCTGTCTAATGAAAGTAGACTTAAGAAAAGCCTTTGATTCGATTCACTGGGGGTTTATAGAGGAATCACCGACGATTTCCTCCAAAATTTTTAGGCTGGATTTTAGAATGTGTCAGAAGCCCTAGATACTCACTAAACCTAAATGGCCATAGTACAGGATTCTTCACAGGGAGACTTCCTCCAAAATTTTCAGGTTGGATTTTAGAATGTGTCAGAAGCCCTAGATACTCACTAAACCTAAATGGCCATAGTACGGGATTCTTCCCAAGGAGACGGGGGTTGAGCCAAGGGGACCCTATGTCCCTATTGCCTTTTATTATGGTAATGGAATATCTAACTCGGAAAAGGAGATAATGAAAGGAGGCTTTAAATTCCATCCTTTTTTGCGAAGAACTGGAAATTGTTAACTTATGCTTTGCTGATGACCTCATAATCATCAGCCAAGTCGATTTGACCACTGTAAAAAGGATTAAGCAAGTAGTGGCTGAATTTGAAAGAACATCAGGACTGTCAATTAACTCTCAGAAGTCTGAACTGTTTTTTGGTGGCGTATGTGAAACCACTCAGTCTCAAATACAGCAGGAGATGGGTTTTAAAATAGGCACCTTCCCACTCCGATACCTATCTCCCCCGGTGCGTGGACACAAGAGGACTATCAGTCAATAGTGGAAAAAATAGTGGCCAGGTTGAAATGTTGGACATCACGCCATTTATCTTTTGCTGGACGGCTGACTCTAATCAACTCTGTCTTGTTGAACCTCCATGCTTACTGGTCTGGAATATTTCTTATTCCTAAATCAGTAATTCAACAGATAGAGAGACATTGCAGGGAATTCTTGTGGGGAAAGAGAAAATCAGGTAACTCTTGGTCATTAGTTGCCTAGGATAAAGTGTGTAGGAGCAAAAGTGAAGGAGGCTTACATATAAAACTCCCCCAGATCTGGAACCAAGCCCTGATTGGAAAACAAATCTGGGATATTGCTAAAAAGAAGGAAAGTCTCTGGATCAAATGGATCCATGTGTACTATCTCAAAGAGAAGCAAATTTGGGATTACCAAGTCCCAGCAGTGGCTGGCATTGGAGAAAACTACTGCAAGTAAAAGAGAAATTAAAAGAAGGCGTATATAATGGGAATCGGCTGGGTCAAACGGGGAAAGAAATATGCAGCAAAGGCAGGTTACAGTTGGTTAAGAGGGAAGCTGAACAAGAACGGAGAAGCTAAGGTGGTCTGGTGTCCTTATAATGTTCCAAAACATGGATTCATCTGTTGGATTGCCTTGAAAAATAGACTCCTTACTCAGGATAGACTGGCTCAAATGGGAACGATGAGCTGATCCTAAATGCGAATTGTGTGGAGAAAGAGGTGAAAGCAGAGATCACCTCTTCTTCAACTGTGTTTACTCTCAGCACCTCATTGCACGAATACTAGAATGGTTTGGTCTACAGTTCAGCTTAAAGACTCTAAAATTTGACATACTTAGGTTGGAAAAGATCTGGAGGTTTCAATGTATCAAACAGTATACTCTTTTTTGCAGCAATGGTTGCGTCGGTTTATCATATTTGGCCAGAACGCAATGCCAGAAAATTCAGCAAGCAGCTCTTACCAGTATCTGAACACTTGAAGAGGATTAAAGAAGAAATCAAATGGAGAGTTCAATTAAAAGTTACCAGTATCTTAAGTTTGGTTTTTGTTTCAAATATATTAAGATGTCACAGAAAATTCAAAATAATATTTCACTCAATTTTACTCAGCCTTGTAAACTAAATCTCCCATTATACATTTGTGACGTAAGTCTATAAGAAATTTGAAGGGACGAAGGACAAAGAAGAAAAGAAAAATAAAAGAAAAGAAAAGTATAATTGTACTCAAAGCCAAATGAATAGTCTCTAGGTAATAAGAGCCTAGCATATTTTAAGTGGATCTTCTAGATATTAATAAATCAAATCCCATTAATTAGGATATGTAAATATTTCTTTCACATTTTATAAGTGCAGTTGACTAGAGTAGAGTCAAAAGGAAAAAAGAAAAAAGTAAAACATAAGTGGATGCTTAATTTTTATTAAAACAAAATGATGTTCTAACACTCAACCTATTACGTACCTTTGGAGCTCTTATTGCATTAAAATTATTGCATACGTATTTCACAATTAACAAATGTTAAGTAGTAATGGTCGTGTTTGGAATATCAAGGCCCTACTATATATGTTGTTACTTGAAGGCATAATATATACCGTGTTTATCATGAAACAAGTTGTATACTCTCTCTGTCTTAAAAAAAAAAAAATTATATTGAATTTTGATATTCATATTATTTTTACTGTAACTATCAAAATTCGATATAAACTATTTTTTAGGCAAAAGAAGTAACATATTTTCTGTAATTTTCCTTACTTTGCCGGGTTCTAGAATTTTCAGAGGTTATATGATTCATCAGTAAAATTTTAAACTTCTTGATTGAAACACGAAGAAGTTACTATTACTCACCCGTGGTGTGCGTTATTCAACGTTAAGTGTTAGTATTGGTTAATTTGAAGCGACAAATATTCCTCCCAAAAAAGAAAAGTGTAAATTTAGTCAAAGAAAAACTAAAAAAAAAAACAAAAAAATGAAACAGCCTCGTGAGTGGACGTTTATAATGTTCAAAAAGAGTAAAAATCATGTTCAACGCTAATGTTTTTTATACCATACTTTATTTGACCAAAAAAAAAATGTAAAGTTATAACGGTCGTGTTTAGAGTATAAGGAATGAACTATGGTGGAGTTGAATTGTGTTTGTCGTGATACAAATTTTTACAGCATGTATATTATATTTTTCCTGATATTTTAACTGGTTTAAAAGATTTTAGAAGATTATTTATGTACTGGTAAAACTTATATCTCACCCGTAATAATGGTTAATTAACAGTTAAATTTAGTCGTATTATAAACATTCATCTCCTTTATTGTATCAAAAGTAAATTTGTAAAAAGTAATACGCTTGTGTATGTAAATATGTAATGCATCATCAAAATATTAAATTTTATTTTAAAACCGAGGAATCTCTCACCAACTATATGAAAGAGGGCTAATGATACTAGTACATTTCGAAAAGAATCATTAAAAAAAAAAAAAAATCTAAGTAATGATCAAGTTTATCCCGTGTTCATAACCTGTCACGCCGGCCGTAGGGGAAGGTGGATATTCGATTACAGTTCGGACATCCAGATCACCACACAAATCCTATATTATTCTCTTCCCTTCTCGTTGTTCCATACATATAAAATCCTACTGGCATTTTGCTTTTTCTCGTGGGTTACAAAAAAACCTTCCCTTTTAGGCCAACGAAAAAAAAAATCAGCTTAAATAACTCGAATTGCTGAACTCCGCAACAATGCAGACCATTACTGAAAGTGATCATCAGAAGGCGAATTTCATGTCGGAAACGAAGGTGAATTGGAGCTTCTGCAAATTGCCTTTCTGGCAATCTTCCACCAGCAGCAATAACAGCAACAATGCTGCTGCTGAAGAAGACGAAGATGATGATACTAATCAAAACAGTAAGCATTATGGTGGTGGGCTTGCCGTTGCCGTTGCCGTGGCCGATCATTTCCAGAATTCTTCTCTTAAAGTGGCTAATTCGGTTGCTAAATCTTTACTTCCTGCTCGTCGAAGACTCGGCCTTGATCCTCCTAACAAGCTCTATTTCCCCTGTATGTGTATTTACTCTGTTTTCCTCTGCATCCTCTGTTTTTAGTACTGGATCTCGAAATTCGGCGTTAATTGATTGGAATAAATTGTTTTGGGAGATTTTCATTGATGAATAATCCTTGTCGTTGTTTTCTGTTGTGTTTATCAGATGAACCGGGTAAACAAGTGAAGAGCGCGATTCGGATTAAGAACCTCAGCAAGACTCGTGTTGCGTTCAAGGTATCATTAATTACCGTCTCAAAATAATCGTCATGTTTGTTTTCGAGTCAATCTGCAGTAATGTTGTAAAGTGTTTTTTTGTTTTCTACAGTTCCAAACTACTGAACCAAAAAGCTGCTACATGCGCCCTCCTGGTGGAATTCTTGCTCCTGATGAGACCATAATCGCCACTGGTAATAAAAAAAAATTAAAAAAAAAGACTTTATATTTATTTGATTTGGGGTAGTTTTACATTAGGGATTAAATGTTTTTTTTTTTTTTACTTTTCATTTTTTTATTTGGTCCATAACTAATGTGAAGAAAAAAATTGTTTTGACAGTTTTCAAGTTTGTGGAGCCTCCAGAAAACAATGAGAAACCAGACCATGGTCTTAAGAGCAAAGTCAAATTCAAAATCATGAGCTTGAAAGTTAAAGACGAATTCGGTTATGCACCTGAGCTGGTATATTTGCTTCTACTAGCTACGTCATTTTTCTCGTCTACACTCTATTAATATTACTCCAAACGTCCTAAAGAAAAAATCATGTTTATTAAACTAAAACAGTATAACAGACGAGTTTATTTGCTTTATATTAATTTCTGCTTGGTTAGTTATCATCTACCTCATAATAATTTATCTTATGGATTCACTGGGTTTAAAGAATCTTTTTCAAGTACTCCCTCCGTCCCATAATTATTGTCCACTTTACCCAAAAAATTTTGTCCCAAAATTATTGTCCAATTTGACTTTTTATGGATCAAGTTATACATTTGTCCTTAGTAAAAAACATTATCGATAAAATATTAGTGGTTAAACAATTACTTATGTAGGGGTATATTCGACTGTTTAAAGTAAAATATAGTTAAGTTTGACCAAAAATAAAATCTTTCATTTTAGTAAAACTGGACAATAATTATGGGACGGAGGGAGTATATATGTAGGAATCAATTAAACAATTTATAAAGTCAAATGAAAGAAATTTTTTTATGGGATTTATTAGTTCTGGTGTGAATAGTTATGATCATTGGTGGGGATACATGTATGTATGATTTGTCATGATTATTGTGGAACTCATAATTAAAAGCATATACACAGGTTGTCTAGCTTTAATAATTAGAGAGATTCTGCAAGGTCAGCACCCAAATTTGTTTTCCCACCAAACAATTAATTAAACAATTGGTTTGGTGGAAATTATTCTTGGAGGGAATAATATGATTGCAGGAGTGCTTGCCGTGATGATAATTAGAAAAAAAAAAAAAGGAAATGCTAAAATGTTCCTTCATCCTTTCTTTCTTTTCCTTCTCCAAACTTTCGTTTGATTTAGTTTACAATAACACCGTCATAGTTATTTAATTGTAAATACTTATATTTTTATACGCGTATTTTAATTCAATAAACACGATTGGTTTATAAGATAGAACAAGATAAATACGTTGCCTTAGTTAAACATTTTGCTAAACATACATCACTTGAAACAATCAAGATTTCATTGTTGCTATCAATAATATGATTAAGACTTTGCCGAGTGATTTTGTCAACCAAAATGTCGACATTGTTATTAGCTTTCCAGCTTTGAGACCAGTATAATTGCTACCTATATGACTTTTGTAGTACTTTAATGTAATTTTTTTGTTGGGCATGCTTGCATGTGCAGTTTGACGAACAAAAGGATCAAGTTGCAGTGGAACAGATTTTGCGTGTTGTTTTCCTTGAACCTGATCGCCAGTGCCCTGTAAGTGGGCTTTCTTTCCGTATGCACACTATTCGTCCCAATTAAATAATTTCACGTTGTTATACTTATTTAATTAAACAAAATAAATTATTAAAGTAAGATTTTAAAAGTATTATTAGAAATGTTTAAAAATTATAAAACCGCAGAATTCCAAATTAGGATGAAGTTGGGATTATACAAAATTTGAGTCGAAATTTAGAAAAAGAGAAGAGAATATGAGATTTTACAACTAGAAGTTTAGAAAAGTTCTATTATCAAAGGGTGTTTAAATCCAATTCTTGATTTTCCATGAATCTGATAAGTCATTATTTTTGTAAGGCAATGGAAAAACTGAAGCGGCAACTAGCTGAAGCTGAAGCTGAACTTGAAGTACGTAAAAAGCCCATAGAGATCAAAGCCCCAAAAGTTCTTGGACAGGGTCCAGCCATCGATGAATGGGTTAGTTCTTTTTTTTTTCCCCCTATTTGATTGAGCTAATTTTCAACACTAAATTATACTCCCTCCGTCCCATAATTATTGTCCACTTTGCTCAAAAACTTTTGTCCCAAAATTATTGTCTAATTTGACTTTTTATGGATCAAGTTACACATTTGTCCTTAGTAAAAAACATTATCCATAAAATCTTAGTGGTTAAATAATTACTTATGTAGGGGTATATCCGGTTGTTTAAGGTAAAATATAGTTAAGTTTGACCAAAAATAAAATCTTTCATTTTAGTAAAACTGGACAATAATTATAGGACGGAGGAAGTACTACAAGAATTATATTATACTGTAGTTGAAATACAATATAATCCATATTGTTCGTCCATAATTTTTATCACTTTAATACATTTCTTTTTATGTTCAATGATGTTTATATATCCTCCATTGTGGCAAATTTTCCCATCTGATTTTTGTTTTCCTCATTTCTTTCGTTTTGTGTCAACAGAGGGAGAGGAGAGAAAGGTATCTTCTTGCCCAGCAACAGATTCAAATGTCCATCAATTCTGTGTAGATGGAGTTTGTTTTGCATTCATCCGTAGACACAAGAAAACATTGAGCCAGAAAGAACTCAACTTAAGCTGCTATGGTCAAAGGCTTGTTGTCGCATTGTATATAAAGAGAATTAGGACATTTGTTACTCCTATTCTACATAAATTCCCATGTCTCCTTATGTTTAGCTTTTACATTTTCTTAATGCAATTTGCTACATGATAATAATACGACTTGAAGGATAACAGATCATTAAAATGAGACTAGATTTTCTATAACGCCCATTGCGAAATGGTTAGCCATTCTTATCTCACTACTAAATTTTACGTATAATAACATTAATGAAACTTAGGCCATGTCTGGTCTGTTAACATTAAAAAAAACGATCACCTATTTTGTGAAAAATACAATCACCCGTCACTGATTATACTAAAGCCGTAAAATTTAGCCCATAAAATTTCGCAAAAAAAATAAAAAAAAAGAAAAAAAATAAAAAACAAGAAAAAAAAAATCCTCCAAAAAACCCATAACATCAAAGGCGTCCGATCACATAAGAATGGAAAAAAGAAATGATAAAATTCATCTGAAAATTACCTCTTTTTCTCTCTCCCCACTTTCGCGTGTTTTTTAGTTCACCGCCATTGTAAACGATCAATGATCAGTGAATTTTTTACTGTATAATAAACTAATATGTATGAAGTTGTAAAAAGAAATGATTGTATAAAAGAATTTGGGAGAGTTTGGAGTTCAGGGGTATTTTAGTTTATTTCACAAGGTGCACGAAGTAAAATTAAGTTACATTTAGCAATTCACTTTTGTATATCTCTTTTATTTTTAAATAAAGGTTTTAATGTACTCTTCCTTTATTGGTTAGACAAATTTTTACTCTTCATATCCAGCCCTTTATTGGTATATCATCGAGACTTATGGTTTTATCATTTTTAATTTTTTACATTTTTAAATTGGATTTTTTGATAATATATTAAATTTTTATAGTTCTCACTTTTCTCTAATTCACCTAATGTTGTATCCTTATTATCTACTTCATCAAATAACTTATGAAAATAATCTTTTCACATACCTTTTATTATTTTGTCATCAACTAACATACCCATTTTTTTTCTTTTATAATATCTTATCAAAATATTACAAAAATGTAACTTGGGCCTACATCAAAAAATATATGCCTTATATGTGAGTCGTTTATTTATACTTCCCGAAATATCATAACCTAAAACCAAGACCTTTCAAAATGAATTACCAAACATTAAAAGGCTTGCATAGGAAAAAGAAAAAGAAAGAAAATCCTAGTCGCTTATTAGTTATTTGTTTTCATTTCAATGTTTATTCTAATAGTAATGAACTCTCGTCCTAAAACTATTGTCGGATGGAAAGAAATTGAAAACAAAATGGCTTACGGGAATTTATGCCCACGACTAAGGTTGGGCCAAAGGCGACCAAAATGAGGTGGGCCAATTTGGTTAGACCAATTTTAGGCCCGTTATCTTAATGCAGGGAAGGCTCGTCAGATTTTGCTAATCAATGCAAATTAAGCTTTAAATCAAATCGGAGCGTTCTGTAGCGTCAGTTTTCCATTTAACGGCTACGATGGAGCGTTCCCTCAACGTTTAGTTTTGTTATCTTCAACGGTCTAAAAACTCAAAAAACAAAAACAAATACTAAAACCCCCATTCTGTTATTCCCCAAAATCTCCTCATATTCCCAGAATTTTCTTCAAGATTCCATCAAAATTCACCCCAATTCCTTCCGTTTTTTGCAAGAATTTTTCAAGATTTTCTAATCCCGTAAAGAAAAAAATGAGTGTTTTACAGTATCCAGAAGGCATGAATTCATCAGATCTTCAGATATGGAACAACGCCGCATTCGATAATGGTGATTCTGAAGATCTGTCGGCCATAGGTAAGCGTTCTTGGTCTCCTTTGAAACCGGTTCTTCTCAATTCAACTGATTCGATTCAGTCTCTTTCATGTAAAGAGAATCAGAGCCCTCAATTTCTTCTTAATTCGTCAATCTCTTCGGTGAAGTCTCCGTTGCCGCTGCGTCCCAAGGTTAATAATAATTCAATCGTAACCGTTGAAGACTCAAGAATCAAGCCGGCAAAGGTGAATTCCAAGATGGGTTTGGAGGAGAAAAGTGTTTCGTGGAGTGGAAGTGATTGGGAGGTTCGCGATGAGGGGAAGATTGATAAGGAAATCGAGGAAATTGAGATGGAAATCAATAGGCTTTCTTCAAGATTAGAGGAATTGAAGATGCAAAAGGCTGAAAGAAGTGCGAAATTAGTGGAAAAGAGAGGGTTTAGGGTTGTGCCTGCTAAGTTCATGGAAGAAAAGAAGATCTTCAAGAATACTGAGGAGCAGAAAAAGACGGATGAAATTCTGGGGATGAGCGCAAGAACTAAGGTTCAGAGAAGAGGGCTTAGTTTGGGACCTGCTGAGATTATGGCTGGTACAAGAAGGGGTTTGAGTCTGGGACCATCTGAGATCTATTCAGGATTGAAATCCAAAGAAATGGGAAAGAAAGAAAGTGTAATCACCCCAATACAGCCTATTCAGAGTAGGCGGAAATCGTGTTTTTGGAAGCTGCAAGATATCGATGAAGAGAAGGTGACTAAAGAGAGGGGCAAGTGCCTAACTGTGAGTCCAAAGTTGAGGAAGAATTTAGTGGCAAAAGCTCAGACTTCAAGGCAGGCTGCAACCACAGTTGCTTCAAAGAAGACTGTAAAGAAAGAAGAACTGTTTGGCACTTCAGTTCAGCCCAAAAAGTTGTTCAAGGATGGGGAGAAGTCCATCACTGCTACCAGCAAGAAGCCTACCAGGCCAGGGAGGGTTGTCGCGAGTCGATACAATCAGAGCAGTAGCAGTCAGGCTTCTGCAATAAGAAAGAGGTCTCTGCCTGAAAATGACAAGGATGAAAGCAAGAGATGTGATAAGAAAAGGTCTCTATCTCTTGGAAAATCAAGTGAATCACTTCCAGAGACCAAGAATTTGGTGCCCGAGATCAGGGTGAAGAAGAAATGGCAGATTCCTAGTGACATTGTAGTTCATAGCTCAGAGTCAGATGATTTGTCACCGACCATTTCTGATGTGCCCGACCCACTCCCCAGGATCAGGACTACCAGGTGCGCCGTCGAGACTCCTAGGGATTCTGGACCGGCAAAAAGGGTAGCTGATTTAGTTGGAAGGAAGTCATGTTTTGCTGATAGTGAAGAGGAGGAGACATCATTGCGCCAAGTCCTAAATTTTGCAGAGGATGATATCTTAACAATTAGGACTACTCGGTGCATCAAGGAGACTCCTAGGGACTCTGGACCTGCTAAAAGAGTTGCTGATTTAGTTGGAAGGAAGAAATATTTTGCTGATGATGAAGAGGAGGACCCTTCAATGTGCCAATTCCTGAATTTTGCAGATGATGAAGTTGAAGGGAACTGATGTAAATCATAGAGGTTTCTGTCACTCTACTTTTACTTTTTTCTTATTTTATCATGGCTAACTATGAATTGAAGGTTTCAAACAAAGATTGCCAGTATTGAGGCTAGCAAGCATACTTCTATTTCCTCATTTGAGATACATATGAAGGATTAGTCATCTTGTGTATGGTACAATTTAAATAAGTTCTTCTCTGGATTTTTACTGTAACTGTAATTTCATTGATATGAAATGCAGAAATACAATGAACTGTATGAATCCTTCGGTGATGTTATTGTTCAGTCATCATCATTGTGAGAGTTCAAAGCTTCCATTACCAAGCAGTTTTCGGGATTCTAGAACTAGATTAAGTTTTATAATATATGGCGCTGGAACACTGTTGTTCCTCTGCTTAGTTCATTCTAAAAGATATAAAGCCTTGCTCCAATGAGTTCTGTTATTTATATCCTGTTAAGAAGTGAGATGCCCTTGAATCCAAGAGCATGGCGACGAAAAGGATATAGGTAAAACTTTTTGAAGTGTGCTTTTTAGTAGTTATACAGTTCTGTTAAAATAGGCGGAGCGGCTGCGTTATTAGAGTAGTATTACAGGGAATTTCACCGGCTGTTCATCATCAGTCTGACTGATCATTTTATACCTATCATGACAGCTGAAATCCGGCCTCTTCATCCTGGGATTATTGTGTCTCAGAGACTTTCTGATCATGTCGATTTAGAGAAGACTAATGTAAACCATAGAGATAAGTTTCATAATATGGTCCGGGCCAAATGCAGATGCAGACGCTGCAGCAGGTCTATTTTTGTGAGCGATGCCAGGTTGAGAGAGGCCGGATCCTTGCTCAACAGGAAACTGATTTCCCAGATGGAAAAATCCGCAGCACTTACTGTCCCAGAGCTTTAAACCATTGAAACAAAAAAGAAACGTTCAAAACCAGGTGTTCCTTGATCAGTACATATATTCTAGGCATTCCAATCAGATCAGTGATACTGCTAAGGAAATTATCAATAGGGATGCAGTCATTGACAATCACATCAGCAAATATAATTCTAAAAGTTTATTTCCTTGCCTTGTACTGACAATTAGATCAACAAATATGATTCTAATTGTTTATTTCCTCGCCTTATACTGAAGGACATGGAGCTACAAAAATGGTGTAGTAGGAATAGGTCTGTAGCAATCTTTGTTCTGCTGCGACTGTACTTCCCTTTACCTTATATCATGACTGCAAATTTTGATCCAAATTTCGACCTATTGAATTAGAGGCCACTTTATTTTCATATAAATAGGAAGCAAAGTTGCTTCAGCATTACAAAAGGACTGTTCCATTTGGTAATCAATATATGCAGTCAATAATGAGCTTCATACAAGTATTCCGGTTGGACAAAGTGAAACACAAATTCCTACAAAATCGAAAAGCAAAGCGTATTTCGCTCAGGATTAAGCTCAACACAGGGCATGCCGTTGGTAATACTTGCACTGTCCTTGTAAAGGACCACGTTTGGTGTAAAGCTGCCATTTGGATGTTCTATGAGCGTGAAATCTCTGCTCGCAGTTATGTGTATCTCAGCAAATCATGGAGGAACAACCTGCTCGAAATATATACACATTCTCAAACATTGAAACACGATTGCACAGAGAAAGAATAGAACATGATCCGGAACTTACAGAGGTATGATTTAACATACTTATCACCAATCATCCTTAAATGACCCAAAAGATGTGATCAAACAACCAAATAAAAAAAAAAAAAACATTTTATTTTAAAATACCTTGCCTACTTTGTCGTTCTCCTCAATAACACAGTCAATCAAAAGCTAACCATAGGCTCCTCAATCATGTTCTTGGAACTTAATGGGAGAGTTGTTGAGGTACGGCGGAGGACAGCTGCTAGCTTGTTCTAAGCGTCCTTTCCCCTGCTAATTCTTCTTTTCTCTATTGGTCACTTGGGTTTGAAGTACATCGCAAAATCATCTTCAAATTGGATGATGCAGTGGTAGATGCAGAAAAGGCTTCCCATTTCCAAACCTTCCAATGGGTGTATTGATGGGGAATCAGTCTACTGATGCAATTCATGGGTGTATTGATGGGAAATCAGTCTAACTAATTCAACTCAAATAAACATGGACAAATTTTGGATTCGGTATACATATAATACTAGATAGTAGACACAGAAAATATGCCGACAAGTCAAAAAAGTATTATTATATTTATATCTGACACTTCATTCGATTTTTACAAAATAAAATAAGAAAGAGTATGACGAGTATACAGGGGATATGTAGGAGCTATTTGTTTTGGTTCTGTGTTGGGTGCGTGGACAAATGGCCAGGCCAGATCACAACTAAGAGTCCAAAGCAGAAGCTCTGAGTCTGGTTAGGAACTATCTCTTCTTCAATCTGGATTTCTGCATTATCAGTTCCAAAATTGTCAATTTAGAGTTTGAAGAGTCCTGAATATTTATGTGCTTGAACATCATTAGTAGTGTACTGGACATTTATGCGCTATCCTTGAAACAGTCTCCATTATAACCAAGAGTAGGATGAAGAAAAGCACGGGCTGCTCCTCGCAATCCACAAACTGCAGAATCATAATCATCCACCAGCTCAATTCTCTCTTCGTTAGTATCAATTTTTTACACCTCACATCCACGAGCTTGAGACCAGCCACACACGGAAAAAGTTCGCTGCCAGAAAAAGCCAGCCTCAGACAGATACTCAGCCACGTCCGAGGCATAGTTAAATTCCTGACAATCGGTTTTAACTTAAATCAGTTCATAAAGAATAAACCAAAAGAATTCTCGTTAACCTAAAACTAGAAAATGAAATTCAAGTTAGAGTTCTTACATCAGCAATCAAATGATTGCGATGCACCATGAGCCCATTCTATGCCTGGCTTCCGGCAACATAGATGTTTTCCCCCGATGGCTCTAAAATATTTAACTGTATATCAAATCCTTTTGAGAAAATCGATGATTTCTATGAGTTCATAAAAAACAAGATAGGTGGTGACCAAACCAAGAGTCGGTCCGTAAAATAAAGAGGCTCAGCTAGGAGGTGACCAAACCAAGAGTCAGTTGGTCCGTAAAAAAATGAAGAGGAAGAGGCTCAGGGAGAAGTACGAAAGCAATGCGGAGAAGTACGGGCCGCTGCTACTTTGATTCCACGCGCCTCCAGAAGTTTAAAAGTTTCGAGTGTTCATGAGCCGCCTGAATTTCCTGGTTCCATCATTCGCTGCATACGATCATCCCTGCCTCCTAGATATTATGTGCTTAAACATCATTAATATGTAATCCTCGAAGTGTTACCAGTATAATTTTATTGTCAGAACGTTCATCTTGAATGAATATTCTAGTTTTGGTTGCAAAAAAATAAAAAAATAAAAATCAATTGCTTGACATTTTCAGCATCCAATAATGATTGGTAAATTTCATAGAAGCAAAGCAAAGAAACCCAGGAATGAATTGATTAAAAAGCAACCATTACCTGCAAGGGTGCAACCAGGATCTCAAAAATTGTAACATAAGTTGTCTAACCAAATCCAGCTCTTCCCCACAATCACCAGCTTCAATCTCCCAACCGTCGTTGTTCCATTTGGAGGATATTGTCGAACGGTAACATCAAGAACAGTAAAACTACTCCGATTCACGAAACCCAGATATAAAATTCAATCCGCCGGAGATTCAATTTCGTTTCTTTCTCCGGCACCGATTATTTCTCGTAACCTAGATCTTTCCGCTGCAGACGGCTTCTTGTGTATGTATAGTGTGTGTGGGTAGTGGTGGAATTTACTGCTCAACAATTACCGATTTTCAAAATAGACCCGAAATTGTAATATATTTGTAAATTGTACCCTGAATTACCTGGGAAATGCTTTATTCTGATTTCTGACGCACAATGGGTCTTATTTGCAGATTCCCTAATAAATCAGTGATGTTACAATATTTAACAACAGTAGAGGGGCGCAAACATAATTCCCTAAATTTCCCAGCTAATTCAATGGCTCAGTCCATAATCTTTCAACATAAACCCTAAAAACCCTCCCAAAATTTGAAACTTGGAGCGGATTATACAATCAGATTTCAACAATGTTTGGAGCTTCTGTTTCAAAATGCAAATCCCATATGAGGATTTCGATTTTCTTAAGCTGTTACTATCATTTTCCCGGCGTTCGTAATCCTTGTTCATTCACAGCTCTGCCTGGTTTCAAAAGATCTTCTCTTTTTGTAAGTCCCTCAAAACTCTTTTGCAACTTGCTTTCATCTGGTTATAATCATTTGTTCTTGGGGTTTCATTTTGCTAATTTTTTTTCTTTAATTCTGAGTGTATTAAGAAATTGGGAAATGCCTTAGGATTTTACCTGTTGAGAAATGATTTTGGCAACTAGCCCTACTGTTGGAAGCTGTGGCCTAATTGTTGTTTTCCTCATCCTGATAGGTTTCCAGTGTTTGGATTTTTCTTATTGTCATTGAACATTTACTATATGTGATTCTGAACCGAAATAAGTTTAGATTTTACTGGATTGCACATTGAGAAATTAGGCTAAACAAGTAGTATAGATTCTTAATCAGTCTTCCACTTTGTTTTCTGGCTCCCTTGTTTGCCCATGTTCATATTGCTCAATCAGAATTTTCTTGAAGTTTTTGTGAACTATAATTTTTCTAATAGAAAAAGGAGATCTTTCATTTTATTTTGAATTAATTGCTTACTTTCTAATACAGAGTTGTGTTAAATCCATCCCACTAGGAGTTTTCTGGATTTGGCCTTGGTTTCAAAGTTTCGGTTGTTCCATCACCAGTCATCAATTAGTATGTACACAGGCTTCTAGTTCTAGTAGTATACATGATGAAGTCTTAGATCAGATCCTCTCTGAAAAGAAGAATTCTTCTGAATCTACTGTAAAAATTTGTGAAGCTCACGTTGATCGGCTATGTAGTGGCGGACACCTCAGAACTGCGGCTAGGTTAGTGCAGTCTTTACGTGATAAAGAAATTCCTCTCTCTCTTCGTACTTATAATCGTCTTCTGGAAGCAGCTGTTGAGCAAGGTGATTTTGACATTTTATCTCAAAGTTTCAAGTGTCAGTTGTTGTCAAGTAATTCTGTACCTCCAAAATCATTCCGGATCATTGCCAATGCTTTTGAGAAGAAGTATGATGATGCATTATTGTTGAAATTTGTTAAAGAAGTTTCAGAATTAGCGCTGTCAAGAATCGTTACCATTATGAACCAGATGATTTATGGTTTTGGTGACTGTAGACAGGTAGATAAGGCTCTGTTATTATTTGAGCACATGAAGGCTTTTAAGTGCGAGCCGGACTTGGTTACTTATAACACTATCCTGCTGTTATTAGGTCGATGTGGGCGAATAGATGACATGCTTGATCAGTTTGCTTCTATGAAAAAGGTCGGTATTGTTCCTGATATAATTTCTTATAATACAATATTAAACAGCTTGAGGGAAGTAGGTAGATTTGATTTGTGCTTAACAGTTTTTGACGAGATGCGCAAGCAAGGTGTTGAACCCGATTTGAGAACGTACACAGATTTAATTGACATCTCTGGAAAGTTGGGGAACACTGAGGAAGCTATTAGACTTTTTGATGAGATGAAGCAAAAAAATATACGCCCATCGATTTATGTTTATCGGTCGTTAATTCAGCGCTTGAAGAAGATGGGCAAATTGAAGTTGGCGTTGCAGTTGTCAGAGGAGATGAATAGGGATCAATCAAAACTTATTGGTCCTAAGGATTTCAAAAAGAAAAGGCGATAGCCTAAATTATCAGGGTAATTGATTATTTTATACAGATTGGCGTTTACGACCGCACAGAAGAAGCCATTTTGGTGAAACCCAGCACTTTGGTTGCCTGAATTCGCGGGGTAATTTTGTACAGATTGGCTTTACGACTGCACAGAAGAAGCCCTTTTGGTGAAACCCAGCACTTGGGTTGAGGTTCATATGAATTCAGCTAGCACATGCTCTGGGTATGTTTTGGTGTAAATATTCTACCCTTTATCTTCTAGTCATCGAGATTGGTTGATGTGTTTAAAATCATTAGGTATTGTTATCACCTAAGGTAGTAACAAGAGAATGAATGCTCTACCCCGGTAGAAAGGGTTCCTCTCGGCATTTGTTTGACTTTTGGTAATAGGTGGAAAGTTAAGGTTTACCCGAAGCTGGTGTGCCTGCTCATGGTGATGAATTTTGTATGAGCGTTATATTTCTATTTTGCCATTTTAAGCAGTAACAAACTGCTTGGATCATAGGAGAAACTTCTCATATTTTACATTTACTAGCAAAGTCTTTATACCATTCTGAAGCTAGCTGTGAATTTGACTTCATGTAATGTTTCATTGAGGTCGTAGTGCCTGGTAGCTTCACACCTCCATTTTGTATTAAGCTATTAGTTTGTTACAAGATTGACCTTGTAAATAATTTTTTTGCTGATGAAATGTAGGGAGAAATAGCAACTTTTTAGTGCAGTGGGTACTATGTTGTATGAAAGTGATAATATAAATAGTAAGCAGACGGTACTATGTTTCTGCTCATTTTCAGTGTTTCAGCTTGCAAGAATTTCCATGTTAGACTGTCAAAAGAACAGCAGCATAGATTCTGTTTCTATTTCTTCAGAGGGCATCTATCAGTTTATTTGCAACTTTTAGTAGTTATGGAAAAATCAGAAAGAGGGTGAAAATAGGAGATGATAGAGTTGTTTTGATTAAAAGGATTGTCTAGGAAATTCGAAAAGGTATTGAATTGGTTAAAACACGTATCCAAAAATTTGATAGAACCACAAAACCAAAACACAATCCGTACTGTGCCGAATATTAGAGCCCTTGGTTTATCTAGGGGTTTCAAAGTGCAGGATGCGATGCCAACTTAAATAAAAACTGCATTGTGTATGCCTATTGCCGCAGATCCTAACTAACGAAGTGAAAAAAGAAACTACCCCAAGTGAGAAGAGATTTCAACACAGAGATTGTCACGAAACCATAACTATAACCATGAAAACAGTGGCTCAAGAAATGAGGCAAAATTCTCCTTGTTTGTATCCATGGAGTTGGTAACTGAATGAATCGATCACTTTTTGGTTCATCTTTAATCAGAGCCCTCAAATCCGACTGGAGTCCCTTCCAAATATGAAACGTCGGCCCCAATCAGAGATGACTAACGCCCTTGTTCTCCAGCTTACAAGCTTACTGTAATTGAGATGAAAGAAAGAGCTAAGAAGTAGGCACGGAATGAGTAAAAAAATTGCTCAACTCGGAGGCGTGGTAGCTGACATACCTAGCGTAAACTGAATACCATAGCCATTGAGTGCTATGACCTATTGAAACCCAGTCTCCAGGGAGCTGCGCAGCAGTTTGTTCTCCACCGAGGGGTGCAAATTGTCCAAGATGCTTGTACCTTTTTCATCATAATACAACAAAGATGTTAAGCAAGATATCCGATTAGCAAGTAAGTCAAATGAGGTTTCAAATGAAAATCAATCCTCACCTGAATGGATGAAACCGATGCCTTCCTTCTGCTCTAAATCTCAATGGACCTTCGGGGTTCTTTTCACAGACATCCATGCGGTTGAAACAATCAGCAAGATAAGAACCTTGTTGGGAAGCGACCTGGAAATTGTAGAGATCAAGTAGAGGGGAAGTTAAGTTTCTGAAATGGGACAATAGTAACGAAGAAAGATCTTGTTACTCTTTACCTGTGCAGTTGCTGGGAGATTTTTCATCTGCGTGTCAACTTCAGAAAGTGCTGCCTTGAATTTCTCAATGTCTATCTCAGCATCCTGGTTTGAAGTCTTCAGCAACTGAACGAAGTCTTTTAACTGTTTTCTCTTCAGATAAATCACCACTTGAGGATACCTTTCAATAAGGTCATTGATGACTTCTTTGAAGTCATCTATCTTCAACTTACCCGAGTTATTCTTGTCTGCCTTTTTGAATATCACCGATATGTCTTCCTGAAATATGAGGAAGAAAGAAAGACCATGAAACTACAGTTGTAGCCTTGGAAACAACCATGAAAGCTAGATTATTTTTAGATGAATCATTTGTGTATTTTAATCTAGTTACACCTAGTGGCAACTCTGGGAAAGAAAATGTCCATGTCATCTTCTTCAACTTCATATACCACACAATACCCCGTTGACTCTTGAAGTTAAATACACATTGTCCTACAAAAGTCGTCCTCTTATCAAAAACAGCTATCATACACAAGGCACAAAAAACACTATTGCAGTGCCAATGCTCAATTGCTAACAATTCACTCTACCTTAAATTGAGATGAGCATTTCTTACCATCACTTTTCTTTGGTTGATTGTAGCACAGTCACCTAGAGCATATACGCTATCAGTACCTTCCACCCTTAGCCATTCATCTGTGGCCAGGACTCGCCTGTTCGACTGCAGTCGACAGAAGAAGATTAAATACATATTATAACTAACAAGAGGATTGTGATAAGAGGTACTGGAAACTGAGAAAGAAAGGCAAGATTGGAGAAACAAGAATAGATAGAACCCAAACCTGACCAATCTGCTTCATGAAATCCATAATGACTGGTCGAGTTCCGATTCCAGTAGACCAGACAACCATTCCATAAGGCAAAGCCACTTCGCCACGGACCCTATCTTTAGTGCATATCTCCTTATCTTTTATCTTTACAACCATTGATCCAGTCTTCAGTTGAATTCCATCTCTTTGGAATTTGTCTTCTGCGAATTCTGTTATTCTCTTGTCAAACCTGAGAGAAACAAACATAAATGAGAGAAAATTCATATATTACGTGTGCTGCTTCAAATGAAACTGCATAATAAGCAAAATAAGCCGACTCTTTGATTGCTAAACCAAATTCCCCATTTTGAAGTTTAGAACATCAACACATGTTCTGTCAGAGCACGATAGAGACAGACAACAGAAAGTGGGATAAAGGCTTAGTAGTTAAGTTCATTGTAGTAGTAATTATGCTTAACAATGAAAACTTACGAACATTAGACATTGAAGTTAAAGACGTGAAGGGATCTTCCTTACATATTCAGAATGTGATCACCAGCTTCAAGAAGTGTTATTTTGACGTGTTTCTTAAGAGAAGGATAAAGCCTGGCTAAATCCTCAATCACAAAGTCATGGAGTTCTGCAGCAAACTCTACACCTGTTGGACCGCCTCCAACAACCACAAAATGCAAGATCCTGTTTTTCTCTTCTTCACTGATATTTGGTAGGCTTGCTTTCTCAAAACAGTCAATGACAGTCCTGCGAATCCTCTGAGCATCTTCAATTTCCTAAAATGAAAATGACGACGAGGAAAGATGAATTTGTTATGTTTTCCAAGATTGCACATGATAGATCATCAACATAATGATGGGTTCAAAACATACCTTCAAGAAATGAGCATGCTCCACGACACCAGGGGTGTTGAAAGTATTTGACCTCGCGCCCATTGCCACAACCAGGTAGTCATAATCAACAGTGAATTCTTCTGAACCACCTAGGCTGTTCTCTTTACTCGGTCGACAGTGCACCTTCTTGTTCTCTGTATCAATCTTATAGCATTCAGCTTCCTTGAATTGGACATCAAACTTTTTCTGAAACACAAAAGCAATCCCTTCTGTTATACCAAGACAGCATTGGAAAAAACACTGTATGACATCAGTGAATCTCAAAATTGTAATGATCCTAATAACACAGCAAAGACTTACCTTCCTAACAATACCGCGAATCGGTTCCACAATGCTACGTGCCTCGACAGTGCCATTGGTTACACTTGGTAGCAAAGGAGTGAATGCAAAATAGTTCCGCGGAGAAATGACTTGAACATCATAGTTTGGATCCTTCAGGCTCTTAAGAAAACTGGTTCCAGCCCAACCAGTTCCCAGCACCACCACTTTCTTCTTTTGCTTACCATCATGAGCATGGCTGGTTTGGAGTAAACCACCATCGGAGAATGCTGTTACGCCAGCTAGTCCTCCACTACTGCAGAATCCTCCAAGCATTCAGCAGATAGTAATGACAAGTATAAACATTAGAAGGGAAAAAAAATTTACCCTGCTAACATCAGTTTCGATATTGGTTGATTTACTACCCCCAAAAAAAAACAGAAAAAATCCAACTTTTAGATCTAATCGGTTAATATTAAAGTATAATGGAAAACGCAGAATTTACTTCAAATCTTCAAGAATAAACAAAACTACAAAAGGGCCACCATAATTCTATGAATCAATAAACATCCATCAAATAACGGAACTATAAACCTCCATCAAAATATCTAATCAAACGTCAAAAGCAAACTTTCAAGTTTCAAGTATCAATGACTGTCAACATTCATCAAATTACAAAAAGAAAAAAATTCAAAGAGCGTTAAACAGGAAATACGCTACATGCATATTGTATACAGGGTACAAGTACACATGCACACAAGTATTGAATTAAAACCCGAAAGGCAAAAAAAGATTAGGAAAAAAAAACAGAGCAAAAAGGAATAGAAGTTCAGACCTGACAGCCAGAACAACAAGAATTTTAGAGATTCGAGGATTGGTATTGAAGAGCAATTTGGCCCCTTTGGAAAACGCACTGCCCTTCATCTTCCTCCTCCTTTTTTTCTCTTCAACTTTCTTCAGTCCCTATGAAGCTTTTTCAGGGTTTCAACACAATGAGGTAGTGGTAGATTGATGATCAAGAAACCCTTTACTTTTCAATTCTTACTCCACTATACACAAACAAATTACAGAATTATTATCTTCGGAACGAAATTGTAGTGTGGTTATTTGCTTAGTGCAGCAGTAAATAATAGTAGTAACCACTACCATTTTCCATGCTTTTAGTACTAGTATTTTGGAATGAAGACTGAAACGGTTAAAAGAAATGGGAAGTGGTCAAAACTCAAAATGCCGATAAAATCGTAAACGTGAATAAGTGTGATCCAACTTCTTCTAACCACAAAGATCCCGAATTTATCGGTTGCTGATTCGCATTGTCCAAATAGCCACCTCTTCTTCCATTGTACTTAATGCACGGCAGAATTGAGATAAAATTTTTAACCCCACAACGGCACAGGATCCTCTGTGTCACTTTTATGTGACACTCTTTGTTGCACCATTCAATAACACTGCATAAATTTTATCATTTGTGTTAATATTTACACCGTTTATAATCATTTTTTTTTTGGTAAAATAGCAACTTCTATTATAACCAAACTGAGGACCAAGTTTACAACCTTGAACTACTTACACAGCTTTTCTAAGTAACAAAAATGCCCAAATGGACCAAGAAACTTTGCTCTATTGGTCTATACTATTTACACATGACTTTTGTTTTCCAAATGACCTCCTGTTTGATCATTTTAATCCTGTCTTCTACCTTCAAATGTTTCTGCTGGAACTTCCTACCATTTCTCTCAGCCCAAACGTGATAAACACAGGCAACTACAGCAGCAAAAAGCACCTTCCTCTTGGTATTTTGATTTCTCTAGATTTTCAGTAACCTGTTAACAGCTGATGGTAAGTCATGCAAACATAAGTTAAGACCTAACACTGCAGTACAATAGCTAAGATTTCCTGTGAGTAAGGACATTTAAAGAACAGGTGATCTCTGGACTCTTCCAGTTGGTCACAGAGCTCAGCCTCACATTTCACATGTCCATGAAGCAGGTTGAGCTGTTTGAGTCTTTCCTGGGTGATCAATCTATCTTTGAGAGCCAGCCAAATGATGAAACAATGCTTGGGGACATTGTAAGAACTCCAGACGAATCTAGTTGCTCTTCATTTTGCATTTGCTCCTCTCAGCTTATTATAACCCCCTTTTGCAGTATATCCCTTGTTCTTCTGCCCTAAGCAGAGGCCGTTCCTGATGCCTGGTTGCAGCTTTTCTTTGAGCAACATCATCTTTTTCCAATGCCACCCACAATCAACTGGAGGTTCATATTCCCATATGGACTTGTCTTTCAGACAATACTCATGTATCCAGCGAATCCACAGGCTCTCCTTCTTGTGTGCTACATTCCATAATTGCTTACCCACCATAGCTTGATTCCACAACTCTGGGAGCCTGATATGCAGTCCCCCATTCCCCCTTAGGTTTACAAATATCATTCCAGGACACAGGTGACCAAGATCTACCTGATTCTTTTTCGCCCCAGAGAAAGTCTCTGCAATGCCTTTTTATAAGTTTAATGATAGATTTTGGTAACAAGAAAATACCTGTCCAGTAGGAATGGAGATTGAGAAGAACTGAATTCACCAATACTAGCTTGCCTGCGTAGCTAAGATGTCTTGTGGGCCAACATTTCAGCCTTGCAACTATTTTTTCTACCACTGAGTTACAGTCACCTTGTGTCCATGCTGAAGAAGACAATGATACTCCCAGATACTTGATTGGGAAGCTACTTATCTTGAATCCCATGACTTGCTGGATACAGGTCTGTAATTCCTCTGAGACTCCACCAAAGTACATATCTAATTTTTGGATATTCACCGTAAAACCAGTTGTGGCTTCAAATTTCTCTAATACTGAGACTTGATTCTTCTGACTGTTGATAGATCAGCAGCACTGAGCAGGATGAGATCATCCGCGAAACAGAGACTAACTATCTTTAGCCTATCACAGAAAGGATGGAACTGGAATTCACCTTTCTCAATCTCTATCCGAAACAGACGAGTGCGATACTCCATAACAATAACAAACAAAAGAGGCCATAAAGGGTCCCCCTGACATAGCCCCCTTTTCCCTTGGAAAAAGCCAGTGTTTTGACCATTCATATTCAGGGTAAAACTCGCTGTTCTGACACATTCCAGCTCCCAGTCTATAAACTTGGGGGGGAATTTCAGCTGATACAGAGCTTCTTCTAAGAATTCCCAATGAATTGAATCAAACGCTTTTTTCAAGTCTACTTTCATAAGACAACAAGGTTTGACATTCTTCCTACGATACAACCTAATAAACTCTTGGGTTAAAAGTACATTATGAAGAATAGACCTATCCTTTATAAAGGCCCCCTGATTTAGGTCTACTATCTCTGGTAATACTAGCTTAATTCTACTACTAAGAAGCTTAGTGATAATTTTGTAAACAGTATTACAGCAAGAGATGGGACGATATTCCGTCGCATCTCTGGGGTTTACATTGTTGGGGATTAGACATATATGAGTAACATGCAGTTGCTTCAGCAATTTACCAGATTGGAAGAATTCTAATACAACATTACAAATGTCATCCCCAACTATATCACAAGCGCTTCTATAAAAACCACCATTAAACCCGTCTGGCCCAGCACTTTTGTTAATATCAATATCAAACAGCGCTTCTTTGATTTCAGCTTTTGTGAAACTTTTAATCAGGAGAGACTGCTGATGAATAGCCAGTTTAACCCCTGAATTAAGAACCTCACTATCAGCCGGAATCCTAGAAGTGACAATTCCTAACAGGTTCATAAAAAAGTCAAGGAAGTGTCGTTGTACCTGACTCTAGTCGTCCACCAGGTTGCCATTGACATCTGTATAACTCAAGATCCTGTTCTGCGACCTCCTTTGTTTCACACAGGCATGGAAATACCGAGAATTGGAGTCCCATTCCTGGATCCATTTCTCCTTAATTCTTTGCTGCCAGTATGCCATGACAACTTTGGTGAGTTCCCAATACTCTCTGTTGCATTCGTTTTCCCTTTCTTGAAGACACACGTTTTTAGGGTCAGCTTGCAGTAACTGTTGTATCCCCTCCAATTCAGCTTTCTTTTGCTCAGCTTGCAATTCAACATTCTGGAACTTTTGTCTATTAAGCATTAGGAGTTTCCTTTTGAGAGTCTTCAGCTTCTGGGCCAGCTGGTATTGTAAGGTGCCTGTTTCTGCTGAGTACCATCGGTCTTTCACAGTTTCTTTGTAGCCTGTACACTTGCTCCACATGTTATAGAATCTGAACCCTTTACATCTCATCCCCTGCTGAATGCTCCAGGTGATAAGTAATGGGCAATGGTCAGAGACACATGCCTGTTTAACCCATGTAACTGAATCAGGAAAACTGTTTAGCCAATCCTCATTAATATGTGCTCTGTCCAACTTAGAAGATATTCTTGCTTCACCAATTTGCTTGTTACACCAAGTATACTGATTTCCACGTGTCTTTATTTCAACTAACTCACATTGATCAACCATCATCTTAAAATTGCCTGTGTCTGCACTGGTTCCTGCTACCCCTCCTAGCTTTTCTTCAGAGCTTAGAATACAGTTGAAGTCTGCTATGACTAACCAAGCTCTGCCAACTTTCCCTGCTCTCGTAAGCATAGAATTCCATAGTTCAGTATGCCCTTGAGCTTGATGATCAACGTAAATTACTGACAGTTCAAATTGCCTGTTGTGGACATCCTGAACTAAGCAATGAATCAGCTGTTCCTCAATCTGGATGTTGGAAATAGTATAGCTTCCCTTCTTCCATATCAGTAAAATCCTCCCCTTCTTGGTATTCGCGTGGTTACTAACATTTTCAAAGCCCTTCCATGTGGTTCTCATCAACTCTTCCACTTTAATTCCTACTAGCTTTGTTTCCAACAGACACGCTAACCCTACATTATTAACCTTACATTCCAGCTTAATAGGTTACTCATGATTCCTAGCCCCTAAATTAGGGGGTCTAGTTCCATGGTAACTTCCTTTTCCAATTTCTTGGGTCCTTTCTGAATTTCAGTATTCTTCTCCCTGTGCTTTCTCATTATGTTGGATCACCTGTTTCCCAGCTCTTAACTGTCTGGTAACTCCTCTAGGGGCTTTGTCTATTGGTTCACTCTGAGTTGGCGCTGTAGTGGTTGTATAAATATCCCTAACTATGATATCCTCAGAAGCCTTTTGTGCACTTGTAGAACTCTTCTCTGGATTTTCTTTCAGTTTTGGGAACCAAGCAGTGATGACTGACTTCCTACAATGCATAGTTTTGTGACCACATCCTTTACATTTCAAACAATGAACCAGCAACCATTCATATCTAATTTTCTGTTTCTGTATTACACCGAACTCATCTTCAAACCACGGCTCATTAGGCATCTTGTCAGAGATTAATACTTCCACTAAAACTCGAGCGTATCCAGCCCTATTCCTCATCAGTGTCATCTCGTCCATTTCCAGTGGTTTACCAATTGCACTGACAATACGACTTAGAGTTTTAGCGTTCCAGTACCTCAGTTGGAGGTTTGGCAGTTGAATCCGGACAGGCACCTGCTTTACATCTTCAAATTTAAAACCAGTTTCAACTGACCAATCTTTAACTATCAAGGGTCTTTTATTAAAGTGGAATACGTTCTGACTAAGGACATCTTCCTTGGGAGTGATAGAATGGAACCTGATTCCATTAGCCAAGAGTAAGATTTTATCCACTCCATACTTCCCCCAAATCCTACGGAGATAGCCATTAACCACATAGAAATGGTTGCACCCAGGATATAGCAAATAAGAGAAGAACGCCAATACTCACTAACATCTTGAAACTCATCCTTACACACCTTGCCTATGTTCTTATTATCAATTCGATTAGGAGCAATAAATTCGAGCTTCCGACTCATTCCCTCTTTCACGCCTTTACCCAGGCAGACCATACATCACATCTATTTTCTACATTCTGTTTAATCGGACCGACAGAACTCGATGTTTCCCCTATTTGAACAATCTTTTGTTGACACAACTCTTCCGAACCCCTAGTTTGGAGTTTTTGATAAAAAAAAAAAAATGGCCCAGAAATAGGAGAAGAGAGAAATATAGGTCGAAATTTGGAGAAGAGCAAAATACCGACATCGGATTCCTAAAATCCGATTTTCACAGTAAATCACATTCTCAAAATCCGACCTTTCCTTAATACAAAAAATTAATTACAGTAATCAAGATTAAGAGAAGGCCGGATTTTCAAAATCCGACCTTGTCATATTAAAATATAATATTTTGAAGAAAAATACTTAGTTTTTTTTTAATTGAAATTTTGACCAAGGTCGGATTTTAGAAATCCGATTTTAATAGAAGGTCGGACTTCTGAAATCCGGGTAAACTTAAATCGGATTTTGAGAATCTGGGTAAGGTAAGTTCAGATTCTCAAAATCCGATTTCTTAGTAAAACAAGTGGAAGGTCGGATTTGAAATCCGACCTTGGACAGAAACTTAGAAAAAAAATAAAGAATTGGTTTCTGAACCAATCCCAACCTATTACAACAGCACCAAAACTAAATTTCACCCATAAAATTACCTATAAACACATTTTAAACACATCGTAACATACATTAACAAATTCAAAAGCATTCAAATTCTAAAATCATCCAAATTACAACTAATAAACATTAAAGAGTTTAAAATCATAAAAAACATCCAAATAACTCCTAATACACATCAAAGAGTCCTACAATTGAATTACTTGGACGACCTTTTCTTCCTTCTAGCACTGTCGCCGGGAGTATACTTCTCGGCCGATTTACTAACCCTATCACTCTTGCGAACCTCGACCGTTTTCTTTTTCTTTTGGGAAGAAACACGAGGTGGAGAGGACTCTTCTTCTTCTTCTTCTTCTTCTTCTTCTTCTTCTTCTCCTCCTCCTCCTCCTTCGCCCCCAATGTAATAATCCTCATCGCTTTCATTGCCTTCATCATCTTCTTACATCGGAGTTGGATTGGGATGAACTATGATTGTTCGATTTGAAATTCCCTGTCGCTTCCTCCTTCCTCCTCTAGTAGGCTTCGATGTTGTTTTCTTCGTGAGCACAACATGTTGACTTGACTCCGGTGGTCTTTTCTGAAGAACCTGAGTATCGGGCTGAGTGCTAATATCACGTGGGCCCAAAGTTAAGGCACTGAAACTCTTGTCGAAGATTTACAAGAGTTTATCCTCTAGACTACCACCGAGGCCGGGATTTTCCCGTAAGGCTGCATCAGTGAGATGATATACGTCGCTAAAATTTAAAGACTGCAGAAAATTGAACCATGTTAATAAAGTATAAGATATAGCAAGAATTAAAAAATAAAAAAATTTAAAATAAAATATCGACATATATCTTACATAAAATCTCTCCAGAGATGAAGACGAGTGATAACCCTGTGCCAGAGGACCGTATTGAGTGGGATCAGTCATAAATCTTATAATCTTCTTTTGAAACCACGGCATGTAGTCTGCTGTGCACTGAGTACCTAGTTCCAGATCAACCAATTCATGAGGAACCACGTGCTGATCTCTCACATTCCAATGAGGTCGTACCTCGGTGTGTTTTTGCACCCAATCATCATATGCCTTTCCAGTCCCAAGGCATTCGTGGTGTATCGCATTCCAGCGATCAATGTCATTGATTAACGGGTACTCTGGCACAGTTTGCTTACACTGAAATTGATGAAGGACCCGATTGGGCTCGTATGATTCTCTGATTGCCCAACAAAAGATCCACGTCCTACAGAGGTAGATATGAACCTCCTCTTTACAGAAATCAGGGAGATCGTCGATGAAGGGAGTGTATGGAGTCCATAGAAACTGGCCAAAATTAAAAAATTGGTAAAAGAAATAGAGAAAAAAATAAAAAAGGAATTTTACCGAGTAACTTAAATCAATACTTACATCCCCATCCCTTAGGCTAGATAACTGATCCTGATGCCAGTAACACAACGAGCGGCGATGTTCACTTTGGATTTTGGGCATTTCCACCTATGAAGGAAAGGAATTCTAGTTAAAAAACTATTGTTTTGAGACATAATAGGAAATAAAAATTAATAAAATAAATCTATAATTACCTATTGACTAGTGGAGCGTCCGACACCAAGTACCTCTCATCTTTCACCTTCCTCTTCGGTTGAAGTCTTGGGATACGCTCCCAAACCCATAACTGAAATTTCAAATCAAACAGAAAAGGCACAAATTAGAATAACAAACAAAAATATAATAAAAAAATATAAATAAACAAACAAACAAAAAAATTTACCTGCATCAGCATATAGCATCTAGTAATGTCTTTCTTCCCGGGTGCGGAAGCTTGACACAAAGCAAAGTACAACTTCGCCAACACAGCTGACCCCCAACTGTAGGTAGCACAGACATCCAAATCCTTTAGTATTGTCAGGATCCAAAGCGGTATTCTTTTTCCCGTATTGTCAGGAATCAAGAAACCTCCAATCAGTAGTAAAAGTAAGGCTGGGCCCTCTGTGTATAGGCCTCTCTTGGAGCATTTTCTGGGATCGGAAGTTTACACTCGTTGATTAAACACTCTGCATAAATCTTATTCCTATCAAAGAAATTACTAACGGGTATAATTCCCAACAATCTAAAGCACATCGCCATCCACTGTGCCATAGAATTCTCAGGTGTCATCCCCTCCACAGGCTTACCATCCACTTTCATACCTAATAACACCTCAACGTCTTCTAGAGTGATAGTGGCCTCGCCAAAATGAAAATGAAAGGTATGGGTTTCAGGCCACCACCTCTCAACCATTGCGGTGATCAAACAATTGTCTGCTTGGATATAACCAAGTTGGATCACCCCCCCAAAGCCTGCCCACTTTATCTCTTCTACAACTTATGGAGGGCAATGTCTGCTAGGTTTTTCTATAAACATCCAAAAATGACTTATCAAATCTCCTACCTTTAAGGGCTTTACTGAACGCCTCATGGTTCTCAAAAATGGCTTTCGCCCTATGATGGTCATAAAGGTATAACAAGGAGTCATCTATTGGAGCCGGATTAAAATATTACAGTGTAGGTTGCAAGGAGCTCGAACCCTCCATTTTTAAATCCTACAACATTTATCAATACACATCATCATCATACAACAAAATCGATAAATGAGCATATAATGTACATTTATAACAGCATTATCATCATGTAACAAATGAGCATATAATTATCATCATGTAACAAATGAGCATATTATCATCAGCAAAATGGATGTACATTTACAACAGCAGTGGTACATGGTTAGACTTCTATAAATGTAACAAAGCTCATCAACACAGGACAGTGCTATCAAAAACACAGCAACAAAAGAGCAACAACACTACACAGTGGTACAGGGAACCAACAGAACAACAAAGCTCATCAATAGGAACAAAAACACAGCAACAACACAGCATAACAACAACACAACATATAGCATAACAACAACACAACACAGTGCTATCAAAAGGAACAAAAACACAGTGGTATCAAAGCTCATCAACAACAACAGAGCAACAACACAACAACACAACAACACAACAACATAGCATAACAACAAAAATAGTCACACACAGTCACACACACACACACAGTCACACACACAGTCACACACAGCAAAGATCAACATTTTGAGCCTTGTCCTATCGGATTTCTAAGGAATTGAATTCCAATCCCAAACAAAGAAAAAAGAGAAAAAATGCAAAAAAAAAAACTAAAATGGCAAGATTTTACCTACAGGGGAAGTCGCCGGTGCAGGGGGGCGTCGCCGGGGAGGGGGGGAGTCGCCGGGGAGAGGGGGAGTCGTCGGGGAGAGCTGGGGAGTCGCCATTGCAGGGGGGCGTTGCCGGGGAGGGGGGGAGTCGCCGGTGCAGGGATGGGGGATTCCAGCTGGTGCAGGGAGGGGGGATTCCAGCCGGGAGGGGGGATTCGCCGGTAGAAGTAGTCGCCGGAAGGGGGGATAAAACTCGGTTAGGTTTGGGGAAGAAGGGGGAGTCCATTTTGACTCCCCAAAATTTGGGTCAAATCTATATATAGTCCCCGAAAATCGAATTCCCAAAATCCGATTTATTCAATATAGACAAAGGTCGGATTTTATAAATCCGACCTTGGACAGAGAGTTTTAGAAATTGGCTTCAAATTTTCACCAAAATCCGACCTTCATCCCAAAATCCGACCTTGGAATGAACAGTGCCAAGGTCGGATTTACGAAATCCTAATTAAGCCCTAAATCGGATTTTTGGAATCCGATTTTCTTGAAAACTCGGATTTTGCAAATCCGACTCATTTCCTAGATCGGATTTTGTAAGTCCGGCTTATATCCTAAACTACAAAAAACACTTGATAATTATTGCACATGCCCTTTTTTAACAAGTACTAATATCAAACACGATAACAATACATTAAACGAACTAATTCATTAAACTAGTTCAAAAGAACTAAAATATAAACTACAATTTGACAAACTAAAGTATAAACTACAATAGTTTTGAGACATGAAACATTGTTTTGAGGCATAAACAACAATTCAACCAAACAATCCTAGTTGTTGTGAATACCATCGGCGTCCCAATTGATCTTGAGCCTTGTCCTATCTGATTTCTTGTGTGATTTTGGGCATGCATTGGTGAAATGATTCCTTGAGCCACATCTCAAACATTCACCCCTCGATTTGCATCCCCTATAATGCATTTGCATTTTAAATCTCTTCTTTTGCCAACGATCGGGTCCAGCATGCATAATAACTCGCTCGTAGTTAGGAACGAGTCTCCATCCAACCTTAGGTCATCTTCTCTTATCAGGGACCGGGGAAAAGTCATCGCGCCCACTGAATTGGTCTTGCCAAGCAACAACCCTGAAATATGGATTCATCGTATTGATTGGTTAATCTTTTATCTTTCAACACACGGCTAGTGCATGTGTACAAGGGAACCTATACTCTTGCCACTTCTTGCAAGAACACTTCTTCTCTTCATATTTCACAGTGTACGTCTTGTCCCCTTTACCACCAAGTCGGACTCTACTTTTCACCTTGAACTTGCCATTAATAGCACCATAACGGTTGACTTTGTGTTGCGCGGCTTTCTTTTCTTTTTTCTTGAAGTCTTCCCACAAGTCAGTTGGGACTGGCGTAATACATTTCCTTGACTTCACGTATTCTTCCTGGAACAAATCCACAGTCTTAATAAAAGTGGCTTCCACCAAAGCTCGGATCGGCAAGAAACGAACGCCCTTGAGGACGTTGTTGTAACTCTCAGAAATGTTGGTTGTCTGATTACCCCAACGATAGTGTTTGTCTTTGGCAAGAGTCCACTGACAAGCATCAATCTCCTGGAGATACAAATATGCATCATTGCTAAAATCACGTAGCTCTTTCCTTAGTTCTTTGAATTTAGACTTTGAAAGTTTTGTGCCCATCTCCCAACACAACCTTTTGATCTTTTTACTTCAAAACCGTGCCACCAAGTTACTACGGATGTGATGAAGGCAAAACCGATGGTATGCATTCCATTCGGGCATTAGACGTATTGCACTGATGATACCCTTGTGCCGATCGGATATAACACACACAGGACGGTCGGATATAACATGATTTCTCAAATGCTTCAAGAAGAATGACCAACTTTCCTTACTCTCTTCATCCACGATCGCATATGCAATTGGCAGTATGCGCTTATTCGCAGTTTTGACCATTGCAGCAAGTAATTTCCCTTTGTATCCGCCATGCAAGTGCATCCCATCGATACTAATCACCGGAGGACATTTAGCAAAACAATCAATTGCAGGCTTGAATGCCCAAAAAACGTATTTGAATGTCCTCTCTGTATCGGTCCAACCCGGTTGCCATTCCCACTCTACAACTGTGCCGGGGTTGCTCTTCTCTAGGGCGGCGAAAAACCTAAATTAAAAAAAATTAATGCTTATTTTAGAAGTAAATTACAAACAAATCAAACAAATTAGATAGAACTTAAGTAAATACCTTGGAAGTATGTCAAAATTGGAAACCCAGTCACCGTAAACAAGATCGATAGCTTTTCTCCTTCCCTCCCATGCCCTGTGGTAAGGAACATCGACATGTATACGGTCTTTCACTTCTTCCTGAACGAATGCTTCACTTCATAATCCAGGTCCAACTCAACATCATGCCTTATGAGATGAGCAATAAGCGTTGCGCTCACATTCCGATTATTATTTTCCTCGGTGACATTCATACAGTTGCGCTCGGGCACCCATTTCACAATCTCCCACAAACCATGGTCTCTCAAGGAGGCACGTACCTTCCAACGGCAAGGAACATAACCCTTAGGGGTCGACTCTTTTAGGGATTTGCACCAAATATACCATGTTGAACCATCACTTTCATTCACATAAAACTCTCTCTTTTGCTCTATGCTCCACGCTGCAATATTAGTTTTTGCTTCTTCCTTATTCTTGAAACAAGTCCCTATCCCGATTGTTGCGGTTGTCCCGTCCCACATGGTAAGTTCAAATTCATCCTTGTCCACTTTTGTATGATCCCATGTACCCTGTGAACGATATATGTGCCTGTCCTTTATGGCAAATTTGTCTTCGACCTCTTCATCACTCTCCCGACTTCCTTCGGATATTGATTGGTTTTCATCGCTTTGATCACTTATCGATGTGTAGTCCTCATCATCTTCTGCGTGATTATCTTCCATGTGATCGCCATCCTCCATAATCGGTCCACCCACATCATCATCTTCAATGTAATCGACATTCTCCACATTCGGTCTACCACTACTTGTCCCTACTTCTAAATGGGACCTAGAAGTACCCGCCACCTCCACATCCACATACAAATTAATATATGTCGAATTTGGGAGGAAATACAACACTTGCAACGATGCGTCGTCCTTGATTTTGGCGATACGCCTAAAACCGTTGCCCACCGTATCATACAAAATCGATAGACTCAAATTCACATTCTCTCTATTCCACCTCGCTCTTTCACAAATCAATCCAACCAAATCATTGTACAATACCTTATGATCAATCACAAAGGAATCGTTCGGCATGTTGTTAAAAGTATTCACAATCTCATTCTTCACAACAAATTTGCTTGACCAATAGACATGAATGAAATATGGACCGTTAAACGCCATTTATATCTGTTGATTACATGAATTACAACACATTATGAACAAATTATTAAAAAAATACACAAACAAGGCATTATCAAACAACTTATTATAACAATTACCACAAACAAGGCATAATCGACACTAAATTTACTAAACCCCCTACAAATTCAAAAGTTTAAGCCAAATTCAAGCATTTTACTAAATTGAACGTTCAATACCACGTATACAACAACAATCATCAACTACACTCAACATCAACCCTAAAACCTTATAAATCATCCTAGTTCTACACTTTTACAAAGAAAACAACAACAATAATTCTAAATACATCAAAACAATAACTAACCTTCTTGTGAAATGGTTTTAAGACATCCGTTGCGAAGAATCGTGAACAAAATCTTCAAATCGCCACTAAAATCACCTCCTCCTTCAAGAAATCGCCTCCTTCACCAAAATCCCGATATGTGAATAGTGTTTTTCGTCGTCCCATTATAACACAATAAGGTCGGATTTCTAAAATCCGAGTTTAAAATTAAGGTCGGATTTCCTAAATCCGATTTACATATCAACTCGGATTTCAAGAATCCGACCTTCTGCCCGCCAATAACGTCCATTCAATGCCGATATCTACTGTTAGGTATGCTTAAATAAGGTCGAATTTTGTAAATCCGACCTTCTACTGTTCTTAATTTTCAAATCTCCCGCCTATATTTATTTTTTAAGCATAAAAAGGTAGGTCGGATTCCGAAAATCCGACCCTCTACTGTTGTTAATTTTCAAATCTCCCGCCTATATTTATTTTTAAAAATAAAGAAGGTCTGATTCCTAAAATCCGACCTTACACTGTTCATTAGTTGACTTTCATTTCATATTTTTCACATGTATTTTCCGAAAAAAAATTATTATTTTATTAAATCAGATTTGTAAAATCCGATTGACTAATTTAATTAGTAGATCGGATTTTGTAAATTCGATCCCCGTATTTTGCTTCACAAAAAAAAAGATCTACCTACTCTTTTTTCTAGACATTTTTTAAACCAAGGCACCCCCTAGTTTGACTATCAATTGAAAAAATAGTCGAATTAGGGTTTCGTACCTGCGATTTGGGGCTCTGGGACTTCATTGCAGTGGCTTGAATATGCTCATCCTTTGGTTGAATGAGCTCTACGTCTGCTGATTTCCCTCTCTTCTTCAGTTTTCCGACCATCGTAGGCTTGCAAGGCTCGCCGGATAAAAAAAAAAGACTTAGTCGCACATAATGAGCGTGAAATCACCCACACTGCGTGAAGAGAGAGAAAAGGACTATTCAACTATTCATAATCATTTTGAAATTATATATTTTAGAAGTAAAGGTTCACGTTTTTCAAGTTAGGACCTATTTATTTTAATTTTGATAGTTAAAAAATTCAACAAAAATAGACAAATTTTATTAAAAATAAAATATTGATACAAAAAATAAAATAACAATATGAACATTATCTACATTGAAATTATGTTCCCATAGTATATGAATTATCACAAATTACACGATTTATAAAGAATAATTGGATTGTATAACAGAGAGTGCCACAGGAAAGATCCCATGCCACAATGGAGGATCCTCTGTGCCACTTTCATGTGACACTCTTTGTTGCACCGATAATAATGAGAAAACATTTGTGCATTTAATATATGTAAAGTATACCACCTTGGGTGATATTTTCTATTCATTTCCTTCTGAAATAATTATCTAATTTAGATTTTTTTAAAAAGTTTAAATTGTACTAAAATTGAAAAGTTAGATTGGACAATAATTTTGGAACATGTGAATATTTATCATCTCTAATTTTATAGTACATAAGAAAAGATCAAATTCTTCTATCTCAAAATAATCCAGATATAGTTTAAAATCACGGTTACTTTTTTGGGACAAAAAGATATATTATCTTAGCATAGCATTCTTTTTTAGTACTCTCTATGCTCCTGATTATAAAACAAGAATTAATTAATATTAAAATTAGTTCAAATTTTTGATTTAAAATAAGCATTGGAGGGTGTATTAGAAGCTAATTAACTTTTAACTCGCATTTTTTCAACCTTTTTTTTCTTTTATTTTTCAATTCTTTTCCTTCTAAAGTTCTCCTTTTCCAAAATCAATGTAATTGTTATGAAATTATTTAATATGATTTGATTAAATATTTACAATTGATATGTAATATTCTTCTATTCATAATTACGAGATATAATTCTGTAATATTTTGTAGAGAATTGATAGTAGGCTAATTTGTTTCCCACTGTTTTAGCTCCTTCTTCTTGTATAAAGATAGAATTTATTCATGCTTCAGTACAACCACCGAATACAAGTAAAATCTTTTTTTTTCCCTTAATATTTTCTTGTTTTTGTTCTTAGTTTCATATTACTAATTATTTAATAGTAATTTCATGACAGCATTTTTATACTATTCCCTTCAACAAAGAAATAGTCATATTGAATTTTCAGTATAAATTTGAAAATCTAATGTACCTCTTTTGTTTTTTTTTTAATAGGCAGAAATTTTTTTTTTTTTTTGATCAAGTTGCAGAAAAATTATTTCAAAAATGAATCTTCCCGTACTTTGAACAAATTATGCTGCCTCTTTTCCCAGTACTGTCCTCTTATATACTCCATTAAAAACAAATTAAACTCAATTCAAGGCTGGCTCCGGCCTCCGGGATGTTCAGTTCATATTGGTAATGGAAACAATTAACACTAAACACATTTCCGTAAAATTTAATGTCAATCACGACACACCTCTAAAGTTCAGAAAACCAAAACATTACGTTCCGCAGCTCTAGCCGGCCGCAGTATGTATATTGCTGATTAAGTTAACCTTAAAAGGGCATTCGAGAGACTGCCGCTCAGGGCACCATACATTTCGTCGCATAGAGAAAAAGGAAACCTTGACTACATATAGCTCTAAGCTCTTCAAACACTTTCAAATCTATTTTTACCTATTGAAACCAGCTGACACTTAAGTCACGAGGCAGCTGCTTAGAAGATGTTTTCTAGTCTAAAGTTAGTCACAAACGTGACGTTGTTAAATATCTAAAATATAGGAATAGAAACTTATTAAATGACGGAAACAATTCATAATATTTCATTTTTAGTTTCTAAATTCATGCTCCAAATCCAGTGCTGCATCGCAGTCTTCTAAGTGCTACTATGAATTTGGATTCCTTCAGACATGTCAATCAATGTGATGGTTTCACAAATGAGTTTTGTTGGAATAATCCAAATACTGTAGAGACCTTCACATTAAATTATTGAGAACTATACGAAAGCGGAAGTGTACCTTAATCTGTTGCGGCAAGAATATCGATCCGGTTTGGTCTTCCAGATGATTCCGTCAAGCCCTTGTGGGAACCTCTGGCAAATGGGGAGTCGAAGATTTGGTATGACGGCTCATCCGGGGACCACAACCAATATATAATAGGGTTTCTGGTTCTGCCCATCACAGAACAGGAAACTGGGCCTTAGGGTTTCTGCACAATACTGGGGCACACTCTAATTTATTATCATAAGCCCAAACTTAATTATACTTAATTAGATCACTTTAATTGGGTCGGTACTTTAAGATACTTTATAATATACAATTATATATATTTGTGTATAAAGTCCACATAGATCTTACAATCTCCCACGTGGACTATACAGTATATATATATACTCCTTATAATTGTATATTATACCGAAAACTTTAGAGCGCTCAAAATTTTCTATCGTAAAAGAATCTTAAACAATCTCGTCCATTAATTACATTAACATAGGATCAAAGAGGCACTCGTTGCACTAATCGCAACTAAACCCATCAGTGGCACGTACATTAAGATAACTAAATGACATGGATTAAGTGTGGATGTGTAGCATAGAAATTACATGTAATGTGATCTTTAACATGCCTATTTCTAACTGGGCCTCTATATACTTTAGTGAGATCAACCAAAGTTTCAGAATGTAAGCACATTGAAAAACTTAACCTTATACCTTAAACTTTACTTGAGACTTTAGACTTTGTACTGTAGTATTAATTAATATTTGAATGTTCATAAATATATGAACCCTTAGTAAAACCAAAATTACAAACTCCCACTCAACCGTCATATCATCAGATTACACAACACTCATTTAAGCAAGATGCTCACCGAATACCTTAACTGAAGTAATCTGTGATATTGGAGTTTGTCCGAATGTGCTCCTTAAAAATTTGTTCATTCTGAACTTAAATCTAACAATTAAGAACTTAATGTTCATTGTTATTAGAGTATCTTAAATTGTTGCATTATTGTCACATTATAACTTAAGTAGTCTTTTAAGACCATATTATATTTGCAGCCTTGTGACAATACCGACAACTAAACTGAATCGAAGTCGGAATACTGAATGATCTCTAACTTGACCGAACTCCGATACATGAGCGTGTAATTTTTAATGTCTTAGTGATTCCGCGTAACCTTGTAGCTGCTACTAAATATCTAAATCTGAATTCTTTATTTATTTATTACTAAGTATCTGCCTTAAACTCCCACTGAAATTGTGATGTGTATAACCATGACAATATTCACCTCAAAACCAAATGAGATGAAAACTTAAAAGTACTTGAGTTATTAACAGGAAACTTTTTTAAGTCCTTAGATGGAATTCTTTAATTTGCAAACCGTCAAACAAAGTTTTCAGGTTGCACCAAATAAATTGTCTAAAAATGTCGCCATTAAGAAACAATCTTTTAATATCCATCTAATGAAACCTAAATATAAAATGTACCATATATGCCATTATAGAATGTCTTAAAATTTGGACTTCCAAAAATACTAAAGAGTCTCTATAAGATAATGCCATCCTTATGACTAAATTCTTTATTGAGAAAATAACTCTTATATCCTTTTACATCACCTTTGGGTAATGAGAAAAGAACCTAAACGTTATTATTATCAATTACTGTATTTATTTATTTTATGGCATTAATCGTAACTGTATTTCTTCTCTCTCCTTTGGAATCTCTTAA